AGGTCCACTTTGCACATCGTGGTACCTGTTGTCCAGTGAAGGTATCCTGAGGGCACTGATGATCTTTGATGCGGTATACTTAAGGGAACTCCTTTCAGACAATCCACCTGACATGCTTTGTGCCATTGAACCAGGACCACTTACCCTGACCTCAGTGAATACAGACTGTACTTTCCTGGGTTCTCCACTGATCTGAGATGGACACCGTGCTATTTGAGCCAACTTTTAGAACCATTTCAGAGATATGGCTCTCTGTTGGTTTTCTTCAAGATTCCTCATGGTTCCACATCTTCCTGGCCTATCCTTTTATTTGTGTCATTCTTATCTTTAGTGAAAATCGGTTGGCCATTCTTGCAATACATGTTTGTCAATTTCCCCTCTATGCCCTCTGGTAGAATTAATATTTTTATTCAAGGTCACTATGAACATAAAGAGCCGGTTTCCCCGGATTGTTTCCCCCGTTCTTCTTTCTCCACAATGAAAAGATCATTCTAGGAAATGGTGCATGTATCAGTATCCAATTGATAGATTGATCTGCTTTATTTCATTTCGAGAGCGCTTTAAAGGAATACCGAATATGTTACATCATACAACATTATGAGCAAAGGCACCTGTGGACCGCTGTTGACTTAAAAGCGACCACGCTGTGAGCAGATTAGAGCAACTTCGGCGAAAACGTGCTCAATCCAACTCATTACAATTGCCGACCACCTCCACCTGTGGATATCTACCTTGGTGGCCTCAAGGTCCGTAATATCACGTCACTTAAGAGGGGTATCTATCTCAGGGACCTTGGTGGTTCATCTCTTGTCTACATCTCTACTCTTCCTTTTCACACTCCTCAACACTTGATAACTTGACACGCACTTACATCCACAATTCCACCATGTCTTCTCAAACTCACACTCTGCCTCCTTTACCCTACGCCTACGATGTAAGCCTCTTCCGATCACGAATACTAAAAGAATCTTGCCATGAAGCTAACAACCAACAGGCATTGGAGCCCGTCATCTCCAAGCAGATAATGGAGCTGCACCATCAAAAGCACCACCAGACATACATAAACAACCTGAACGCAGCACTCGCCGCTCAAGCCTCTGCAACTGCATCGAATGACGTCCCCACCTTGATCTCATTGCAGCAAAAGCTTCGCTTCAACGGCGGTGGCCACATCAACCACTCCCTGTTCTGGAAGAACCTGACTCCCCCCGGAACACCTGGGAATGATATCGGGGGTGCTCCCGCTCTACAGGAAGCCATCGTTTCCCGCTGGGGTTCGCATGAAGCGTTCGTCAAGGCCTTTGGCACCGAGCTCCTCGGTCTTCAGGGGAGTGGCTGGGGATGGTTGGTGAGCAAGGGTGGCGCGAAGGGACGACTTGAGATCATCACCACTAAGGATCAGGACCCTGTCAATGCGCCCGATGTTCCTGTCTTCGGTGTGGATATGTGGGAGCATGCCTACTACCTCCAGGTAAGTTGACTCCCATGTCTATGTCCCTTGTGTGTTTCTTTCTGCTAATCTGTTGCGTACAGTACCTAAATAACAAGGCTGGCTATGTCGAGGGAATTTGGAAAATCATTCACTGGGCGGAAGCAGAGAAGCGCTACACTGCTGGCGTGGAGAACCCGCTGAAGCTGTGAGGTTGATGTTGAGCCACAGTGTTCGGTTCCATTCGAAGGTTTAGTTTCAATGATCCGGTACTCTATTGAAGAAACCTAGTATTTTCAACTCATGCAAAATGATTTATGATTTCAATTCTTTCCATAACGTATGACCTAAAAATTGGGACCTAAATACTTCAATTGTATCCAACCACTCCAATACCGAGGATCTCTCCTCCTTGCTCTCTGACTGTCACTTGTCGGCCAATGACACCCTTCTCCGAGACGCCCAGGTCCAGCCTTTCGGGCAGCTCGAACTCGATTTCCATCGGATTTGCCGTTTTGTGATTCTTGTCCTGTTCCATATTCAGATGGAATTGATGAAGTGGAGAGGTGGATTGTGATGACGTAGTGGAGAGATCGCCGTATTTCCTGATATAAGTATAAGCCTTTTGTCCGTCCAACAACCCGTGGGACAGAATAAACTCACTCGATGCGCATATTGACATTTTGAAATCCTCTGAGTGCATGATATGTCTCTGCATCCTCCGTTCGGAAGATTGCTCTCGTTTTGGGGGTTGTTGCATCTGTGTCGCGGAAGAAAAGAGAGTATGATGACATCGAACCAGTCGATGATGATGATGCAAATGAGGATACTGATGCAGGTGACGAGGATAATGATACGTCTGAAGTGTTCGAGCTCTGATGAGTCCCTCGAGGGAATAGGACGGCAATGGTGCCTCCGAATGTTGGGCGGTTGGTTTCTCCACACATGGCGATCTATAAAAGTGATGTTGAAATGAGATGAGATATGAGAGGGTTGATATGTACGTATATATGTTGTTATATTGACTGTAGGCAACAAAGGAAAAACTAAAGGACAAAACGAAAAAAGGACAAAGCAGATCTAAATAGGAATCTCAATGGGCCCCCAGGGTGCTCAAGGTGAGAGTGATCGAGCACGAGTGAGCACATTAAAAGTGGAGTGCCTCAAATCTGCTCATGTGGGGCCAGTTGATGCCTTAATGCCTTGGTGCCTTGGTGCCCTGATGCCCTGATGCCGTATTGCCTCAGGCAGAAAACACCGCTTCATGGACTTTTGTGATCTGTCACTATTTATAAATAACCCCTAGTATATACTTCGTTTCACTATAAGCGCTTATCCCAGTATCAAATGTGATCAAAATGGTTAGATGCGAGTCCAGGGTAGGGCCGCGTTGGGCAACCATACCCCTCCTCCACCACAACATACACCATCATCAACAATATGGACCAGCCATCTCCCGCCGAGGACTACTACGACCTGGGTGACTACCGTCGCAATGTGAGCACAATAAGCGAAGATGCCCAACTTTGGTTTAGTCGGGGCTTGATCTGGGCCTACGCTTTCAACCATGAAGAATCCGCCCGATGCTTCGAAAAGGTCGTCGAATTCGACCCGACATGCGCCATGGGATACTGGGGTATTGCCCTTGCCCTGGGACCAAACTATAACAAGCCATGGCAGCTCTTTGACGGATATGATCTCTCCGCCACCACGACTCGCGCCCATCGCGCGATCCTAGAGGCGAAGAAACACGCTCCCGCTGTCACACCTTTGGAGAATGCTCTAATCGATGCACTGCAGTACCGATACCCCCAAGAGCAGCCTGTAGAGGACTGCACAGAATGGGATAAGAAATACGCCGAAGCAATGACATCAGTGTATAATGATCACCCAGATGACCTCGACGTGACCGCGCTGTACTGCGATGCGCTGATGAACCTAACGCCATGGGGTCTATGGGACATAAAGACCGGCGGAGTCGCACCAGGGGCGAAAACATTCGAAGTGAAAAAAGCGCTAGATCGAGTCTTAGCACGAGACGAAGCCTTTGATCACCCCGGGATTTTGCACCTCTACATCCATCTGATGGAAATGTCTCCCACGCCGGAAATCGCCCTGCCGGTAGCCGAGTACTTGCGCGGTCTTGTACCAGATGCTGGCCATCTGGAACACATGCCGTCCCACATCGATGTCTTGTGTGGCGAGTACAAACGCGCAGTCGCGGCTAATACCTCTGCAATCCGCGCAGACGAGAAGTTCCTCGCTAACCAGCCCCTCGGCCATTTCTATAATCTGTACCGTGCGCATGATTATCATTTCAGGATGTACGCTGCTATGCTTGGTGGCCGGTCGAAGGTCGCACTCGAGTCTGGGGCCGAGCTCGTGCGGATAATTACTGAGCCTCTTCTGCGCGTTGAGTCTCCGCCGATGGCGGACTGGCTGGAGGGATTTGTCGCTATGCAAATGCATGGATTTGTGCGCTTTGGTAGGTGGGACGAGATCATTGCTGTGGAGTTGCCGGAAGATGCAGAGCTGTACTGCGTCACCACTGCTATGGTGCACTATGCCAAGGGCATCGCGTTTGCTGCTACCAGCCGTGTTGTGGAAGCAGAAGAACAGCGAGAATGCTTCCTCCGAGCAATGAAGCTGGTCCCGGCTTCGCGGACGATCTTCAATAACCGCTGTATCGACATCCTCGGTGTTGGTGAGGCGATGCTCGATGGCGAGATTGCGTATCGCCGTGGTGAATACAACGCTGCGTTTTCGTATCTCCGGGACGCTGTTAAGCGGGATGATACGTTGCCATATGATGAGCCATGGGGCTGGATGCAACCAACAAGACACGCGCTTGGGGCGTTGTTGCTCGAACAGGGCCATGTTGAGGAGGCCGCGGCTGTATATTCTGCGGACCTTGGGGTCGACACATCTCTGCCTCGTGCTTTGAGGCATCCGGGTAATGTGTGGGCTTCGCATGGGTATCATGAGTGTTTGGTTAAGATGGGTCGGAAATATGAGGCGCGTGCCATGTTGCCTCAACTGAAGATTAATTTAGCATGGGCGGATGTGCCTATTAAGTCGTCTTGTTTCTGTCGGCAGAGGAACGAGTGATACCTCTTTCATAATTTGGAGTTATTTGTTTGACTTATTGAATATTCACTGAGGTGCATTTGTTTGAGGTAGAGGGAATATATGCCGTGGTTCGTTAGACTGACATGCTATATATCACCGAGTCATGTACATAAAACGTCAAAGCAATAATACTTAGAGGTCAGGATACGGGGCCGACTTATAACTTATTTGACCATACTATAGAGTTCGTACGAGTGTTGAAATCGGCAATTTCTCTCCTGTCCACTAGGTTGGGTACTGTTGCTAACTGATATCTCATACGCCTTATTATATTACATACTAAAAAGTGTTACAATATTTCCAAACGCTTATTAGCCATGATGGCGCTATTCCCTCCCATGCCTAATAGACGCCCTACCTCGAGGTTCTGCCAAAACCGCCCGTAATTGGCGCTATATTGGATCAATACGTCCTCTTGCTCGGCGGAGCATGAAATCATGAATCAAATTTGCTTAATATCAAATCTCATCTGCAGGTTTCCGATAAAGGTCCACGTATAAATGGTGTCAATGCGATGCGTACCTCTCGGCCAAGCCCCCAGAACCAAACGAGCCACCCCCCTCCCCAGCTTCGTACCTAGGAGCTCCTGATACTCCCTAGTACCGTATGTCCAGCACTGGGGCTCATAGTTGTCAAACCAGTGCAAGCCACGACGAGGGTAGAGACGGCTTTCCACGTAGGGCCAGGTACACAGGTTCTGAACGTTGATGAAATAAACATACCGGAGCGTATCGATGTGGTTATCAAGCTGGTACTGCGCCTGAGCCACCTGAGCCCAGTATGGTCCGAATCGTCTGGTAATATTCTCGACAAAGATAGCGCCGAGTCCGGTACGGTGCTGGTAAACGGTGTAGCCCTCTTGACGACCACCGTTCCAGTGTCCCCATTGCTTTAGAACAACATACCGCCAATTATTCCCTGTCGAAAGCCCGATTGAGGTGATGTTGCCCACTTCCTCGGGTGTTGATCGAAAGTCGTTGAGATACACCTCGAAGCTGTGTTCTTCCAGTGGGTTGTGGATTAAGTCTGCCCAGGTCACTCTTGATCGTTCGATTGGACATGATGTTGTGGTCGGGCCTGCTATCCATGCTTGATACTGAGCCCCGATAGTGCGGTAATTGGCAACAGTATCGTCTGATACATAGTCGTCCCAGGAGCTGTCGGAGAAGAAGGGGAACACAGGAGGCTGGGAAGAACTTCCGTCGCTAGGTCGTCTTGGTGGTATGGCAATAGGGTCTGAGAGTTGCCATCCTGGGATTGATTGTCGTAGTGGCCTTATTGCTGGAGTTCGAGGTATTTGGGGTGGCTGTGACGCGTGTTGGGATGATTCGTTCTCAGGACTGCGCTGTCGAGTGGACTGGTGGGAATGTGTGTCATGTCTGGTGCAGTTGCCTCTCCTACTCCGGGATGCCGAGGTTGATTGGTGGTCTCCTGGAGTTTCACCTGATCCGTCAAGAGAGTAGTGGTGAAAGCTAAAGCTCTGGCTGGTGTTGGTAACGGGCCTTTGGTGCCTTGGGTATGAAGCCAGGGATTGTTGTGGTGCTGGCCGGTTAGCTGTAATGTCGACATTTTCACTCTTGGATTTGCCTCACCTTTTCTGGTCTCATTTTGGCCCGTCTCGTTCTGACTAGTAGACTCACCATCACAAGGGCGTGGAACTACAGACACTGACGAAAGGTAGTGCCGTATCATGTTTGAAATATGTGGAAAGAATCGTCACATGGGTTATTATTTTTGAGGTGTTGGTGCAAAGGTGTAAGTTAAAGTGAGACCTCGACAGGTGATTGACAGTACCAGCGTTATCCATTTATCTCTGGGCGACTACTTTACGATCAATATCTTTGTGGACAAAAATGTCCATAAGAGAACTCAAATGTGAAGATTAACTTAAGTTAATAATAAAGACGAACATTACCGATATCAAAAATAGTCAAAGCGATAGGAAAATAATAATAATGGAGACTACTGGATACAAAGACCCAAGTTCTGGGGCATCAATCAGGTCACGGAGGGAGAGACAGTCACGATGCAGCAATGATTGCGCTATTTTAGTAGATTCGATAGGTTGGCATTCCAAAATCATGAAACTTCATATATGGACGCCCTCTATGGCGTGTTATTTGTTGCTATAAAGACAAGGTAGTTCACACACTGTCTCCCTACAGGCTGCAACGCGCCGCAGTTGAAAACAGCAGATATGTCGAGTCATAAATCTATTGGCCAGGCAAGTCTAAGCAAATATTGCTCACTATCATTTTGCAAGTCGTTATATGTCATCCGAGCGTAGAAAAGCATAACAACTACTTAATCTTAAGAGTAGAGTTGTCATGGCGAAAATTGTAAACGCGTGCGTGTATTTAATTATTTACTTTCACATCCGCAGTCGGTTCGTTGGATGATCAAATCTCCTAACAATAATATGAAAGCATAAAATGAACATCCCCATGCCGAGAGCGGGCTTAAACATCTCGAACCTTCTCACTAGCAGCATTCCGCTCTTCGGCAACTAAGTCTGCCGGAATACGGTCTGGTGTTGTATTCACAAGCATAATCATGGGGAGTAAAGATGCTCCGAGTAGGGCGAATGTCACGCAGCTTGAATCCGGTCAGTTGGCTTCTCGTCAAGGATGAATTCAAATTGAACTTACAATCCAATCAGCGGATCATTAGTTGTCTGTGTGTTCATGCCGTAGGCAATAGCTTGACCAATAGCTTCGATGCATCTGAATGCGGCACCATTGCGAACGTTTTCTAACATCGCCATTAGCGTCCAATGTCGTTATGGACTCGGATCCGATTCTATGGAGTCACTTACCCTGTGCGTCAGTGGCGAAAGACGACAAAAGCCAATACATATAAGATTGAGATAGCGGACCGGCAGTCTGCACGAAGAAATATGGCAGGAACGCCGAAGGGTACAGGCCATCGTCCCAATCAATGGCTGCAGGACGATTGTGGTTGAACTTGACCTGCATAATAATGGACCAGATATAGACGCCGACATTGAGGATGACGACAGTGTAGAGACCGATCTGGGCGCGACGGCGCTGGCTGAGACCTTTCATGTCGAGAATAAATCCGAGGCCGAAACAGCCAATGCTGATAAGCACCAACGTTAGTGTTAATGATATAATTTCGCATGACTTGACTTACATGCAAAAGAAGGGCGAGATGAGCGAGGAGAGAGCGCGGGCACGGACGGTGAAATAGGTTGCGAGATATGTACTCCAAGAACCACTTTCAAATTTGTTAGCGTTATCACCTTTTAATGAACATGATAGTGACGGGCTCACGAGTAAAAGAATGACCAAAGTGCCCAAAGCGCAGAAAACATCAGAAGTTTTGAAGTCATGGTCTTTGCAATGCGCTTGATTTCCATCTTGGTGGAAAGGGTTTCCGAAGTGACAATCTTTGTACCGTCAGACCGGACAACGCGTTCGAAAGGAGTGATCAACAATGCGAATGGTAGCCTGTTAAATATTGTAAGAATAAGGCCATCCCATGTTCTAGGCTATTTTCGAAATACCCACGCAAGACACTCGATGATCAAAAAGGCAATATAGGTATCAGGAGTAACTCCCCCACTGACACCTTTTTCATAGTTCTTAGACAGGCTGCACAGAGCGAAAGTTAGTCAAAACTGTCCATTAAACGAGTCCTTCGCTAAGTTATTAACTCACTTGATTGCACCCCCAACCAACTGTCCAAGATTTCTCGAAACGATCCACAGAGCTAGATACTTTCCACGGGCGCCGGAGGGAGCAAGCGTCATGATGGCTCCAGCTTCAGCGACATACCAGCAAGCAGTTCCCACACCGCTGATAGCACCACTCAGGATGAGGTACTAGGGAGAGACTTGTCAGATCTTGCAGTTCACATTGCTTGTTGCGATTTCGAATAGAAATTCCAGAAAAAGTTCATCGCTCACCCATTGGTTTCCAAATTTGCTGTTGCAGTAGTATGCTGAGCCTTCGATTGGGAAGGACATTGATCCGATAACAAGAGCCCACTTGATGCCGATTTTGTTCACAAGAGGACCACCGAAGAAGCAGACTTTCCCGAGTTAGCACCTTAGATACCCATAACGGGTAATGAAAATCACATACCAATTGCCAGCAGGGCATATGTGATTGCCGTCGAGATGTTTGACACCCGAGCAGAGGCAAGTCCACCACCACCGAGGCCTACAAAACATTAGCAAAACATCCATACCACTTTATAACCTCACTAGCATGTAATGATGAATCGTTCTCACCGGTAATTGCATCAGCCATTGCTGGTCCACAGAATGCCTGGATACTCAAAAGCATCATCTGTGTCAAACTATGCTGCCATACCCGCTTCCACAACGGAACGGTGGCCTTGTAGTGCTCCATATCAATCACTGAAGATTGGCCGATCGCATTATCCGAGAAGGAATGAGTATCATCGTGCGAATCGGAGACGGCAGTCTTTTTGTCGGCCATTATAATAAATAGGTTGTGCTATCCCGCTTTCAGCGTCTGGATTAATATCCTTGATATTGGGTTGCCGGACCTGATCGCTTATTTATATGCTGTGAGCTTATCTCTTTACTCTGAGTAGGGGCATGTTTCCCCGCGCGCTGGCTTCGGGGGTCAGTTAAATGCCATGAAGGTCCACGCGAAAGCACGCATTCATCCGTAATCTTCGGCTATATTTATTAGTGACTTTTTCCTAATAACCGTATCGAAATGATAACGAAAGCCGGGGTCGATAACATTAAACCTAAGACGGCAATCTCTTTATCTTTCTATTCCCCGCATTTTCCAAGGCCGGAACCCATATATCAGGGGGTTTCCTCGGGGCGACGGAAGGTCCACGCGAAATGTAAAATTGGCGTGTTTTGCGGTCCCACAGTTTGGTGATACGTTTCCACTTAGCACCAATCGGGTTCATTTTAACATATCTCTTTATAAGCCTGAGATACCGGTCGCTTCAAGCAAGTTTCTTGATATTTTGCAAGCTTCAACTTCTTAAATTCACGTCCTATCCCTCCTTCTTCTAATTTTGAACAAGTCTACCCCAGTAATTATCGCACTTTGCATAAAGCACGCTGCCAAAAATGGCGGATTCGCGTACAACTACAAAAGTCGTGGTGGTTGGGGGAGGCGGTACCATGGGTTCCTCGACAGCCTTACATCTCATTCGCTCTGGGTACACTCCTTCGAATATCACAGTGCTTGATGTATATCCCATTCCTTCGGCTCAATCGGCAGGATATGATCTTAACAAAATTATGAGCATCCGGTTACGCAATGGGCCAGATCTGCAACTTTCGCTTGAGGCTCTTGACATGTGGAAAAATGATCCATTGTTCAAGCCCTTCTTTCACAATGTCGGCATGGTGAGTTAGCAAAAGCATTGCTATTGGAAGTCCAAAAATCCATACTCACAAGGTTCTCAGATTGATGCCTCGTCATCTGAAGACGGTATTGCAAATCTTCGCAAACATTACCAATCAATCATCGACGCGAACATTGGGTTAGAGAAAACGAACTGGTTGTTAGAAAGCGAAGATGATATACTTGAAAAAGTACCCGCCTTTACAAGAGAGCAAATAAAGGTAAATTGTATCTGTGCACAACCCTGAGGGAAGCGGGGCTAATAAAAGTGTGAATTCAGGGGTGGAAAGGCTTGTTTTGTAGCGATGGAGGTTGGCTTGCTGCAGCCAAGGCCATCAATGCGATCGGGCAGGTTCTAAAAGATCAAGGTGTCAATTTTGGATTTGGCAAGTATGTAATGACCGTCCGACAAATTTCAGCAAGTTTGAGGATTTTCACTTTACTGACGCGAAATTCTATAGATCTGGGACTTTCAAACGACCACTGTTTACCGCGGATGGAATCACTTGCAATGGTGTTGAGACCGTAGATGGTACTAAATACTACGCCGATAAGGTGGTCCTGGCTGCTGGTGCTTGGAGTTCAACATTGATAGATTTGGAGGATCAGTGTGTTTCGAAAGTAAGTTCAGCAGATCCTTCTTGTCTAGCCTTCCACAAATTCATTCTGGTTCAAATGAGTCAAGTTGCTAATTATCAATCCTTGCAGGCATGGGTCTTTGCTCATATCCAGCTCACACCCGAGGAGGTGGCCAAATACAAGAATATCCCCGTGGTATACGATGGCGAATACGGTTTCTTCTTCGAACCCAACGAGTAAGCAGTCCCTCTTGGTCCAAATGTCGGAGAAATCAGACTCGTGTGCTAAGTCCTCATCTATAGACATGGGGTGATCAAAGTCTGCGACGAGTTCCCCGGATTCTCTCGCTTCAAGCTACATCAACCTTATGGCGCGGCCTCTCCCAAACCCATCTCTGTTCCTCGATCACACGCCAAACATCCTACAGATACCTACCCCGACGCTTCCGAGGTAACCATTCGAAAGGCAATCGCGAGGTTCATGCCACAGTTCAAGGATAAAGAGCTTTTTAATCGGTCTATGTGCTGGTGCACGGATACTGCCGACGCCAATTTACTAATCTGCGAGCATCCCAAGTGGAAAAACTTCATTTTGGCCACGGGAGACAGCGGGTGAGTTAATAATCAAAATGCGGGAGTTTGTACAGTCAGCGGCTTGCTAACTCCGCATACTACAGTCACAGCTTCAAGCTTCTACCCAACATCGGCAAACACGTCGTTGAGCTGATAGAAGGGTCTCTTCCACCAAATCTAGCTGATCCGTGGATGTGGAGACCTGGGGGCGATGCTCTCAAATCTATACGCGGTGCCGCAGCGAAAGATCTCGCTGATCTGCCGGGCTGGAAACATGATCCCAAGCTTTGAAGTTTGTTTGCATGGATAGATTCTGGATATTTCTTTCAGATCCTTTACAACTTTCATCCTCTGGGCGGGATATACCCACCCTGTCTTCATTGTGATGACACAACACATTGTTATAACTTAAGAGGTTTGAATCAATGCTTGACTCATAGGATATTCAATGGTACATGATCACGCGCTACTAAAAGAAAGCGCTAAAACGTTGACAATCTTACATAAGGGTGTGGTTTCAAGTAAAGCAGAGCTGTTGTCCGCTAGAACTAGCAGTTGATAAAAATGATGTAGAGGACAACCCAAGTATGGGAGTAGATAATGTAGAGCGAACCCCTCATCAACCAGTATGTTAATGAAGATCATTCGGACGAAAACCGAAAAGAGGAAAGTACTAAAATAGAAGTGTGGGTTCGGTCCTGCCTGGTTATGTAAACATCCATCTAGCTAGGAAGCTTTGTCATATTCGAGCTCTATCCCGAGTTCTCTCTTCCTCTCACTTTCAACCCTCCACCTCACCCTCCCGCAACCCGCTTATTAGAGACCACCCTATTATTAGGCAGACACATTCCCTCCGGCTGTACCGGATTATCGGATTATCCGCCCCGGTCGCAACTCCTATCCCCGTACTAAGAAGCGCTGTACCTTTTGCTTCTTCATCGGCAAATTCATTGCCGCCCAAACCAACGTGTGCAGGGATCCACCTGATAGTGATACTCGTCGATCGGTTTGTTTTTAATTGGATGACCTGTACGTGATCATATATCAGTGCGAGCATGTACAGGCCAGATGGTCGTTGTGGGTTTTGGACTGTCTGGATGGCAGCCTGGCTGTCAGAGAAAATGATCACTTCTCGAGCCTGTTGGTTCCCCTCGGTTTATCTCACTTGCCAAAGCCAGGAAGGGAACTGAGGGGAACCAACAGGCTTGAGAAGTGATCATTTTCTCTGACAGCCAGGCTGCCATCCAGGAGATGTTGACTGGCAGGGGATCCCCTCGAGAGGAGGGAAGTGGGCATCGTCACCCAAGTGGTGCATGATTCTACCACCTAGACAGCGCGCGGTTAGATTTGCAGTGAGGGATGCAGGAACTGTCAACCGGCGGGCTTGGATGAACCCTTGAATGCCTCGATTCGTAATACGGGGTATTCTTTATTAATTGCCGGGAGCGTCATGAAAGTTAAATGATTTTCCTAAAGACTATCACCAACCCACTTATGGCGAATACAACTCCCAGGAATGCAACATACAAACATTGAGGTAGATGCTCGTGCGTAGTCCTAGGCTTTATACTGTGTCTTCACCTAAGCACTACCACCACCATGGCGACGAGACTGATGGACAAATTCAACACAGGACCATAACCATGTCTATATTGGCGACGACACAGGAGCAAAGCCTCCTACGCCGTAATCCTATCACAGGTCTTCGCTTGTTTTACTACAACCTCCGTTGGAAACCCTACATCCTCAATCTCAGAATAATGACGCTCGAGCACGCAAAATGCAGCTGCAAAGAATTCTTCATGCATGGGACTTCAGAATGGAGACCTTGGCAGAAAGGACATCAACGTCAATACTAATTCAAGTAGTAAGGCATCAAATTCCCCCCCTAAATTGGGGGTTGAACCCCAGTGGCTATACCGCTGCGTGCCCTCGTATTCGATCCACGTTTCTCTGGCTAACATGCTGTTTAGATATAGTTCCCCCAAGGCCGATACGTAAATGGTAAAATGTCGCCGATTATGATATCCCATTTAACTCTCTATTAGAAGTTATTCTAGCTTATAAATAAATTCAGTGAAGCCAGCTCATTCAAATGACAATAGAGGTACGTAAATTGCTGGTTTCTTTACAAAGATTTCTAAGGGTTGACAGTGTACAGTTCATATCGATGAGAGGACTATAGAACGCAGGTACTCTGCGCATTTGCACACGATATTGACCGTTCATCCTCTACCATGCCAACTCAGAGCCATCATGATCGAGGAACTTCCCATTCGTCTTGGCAGTCGCACCGTCAATCTGTCAAATTTTTCAGTCAGTCTCTTCAATCACATTCGCATCTCCGTTTGCACCGGAGCACACATACCACTTTCTTTATTGCACGCGCACTTTCTTCGGGAGGAGTAAAGCACACTGAAGACATATCGAAGCCTAAACTCTTTGCGAGGTCAAGACCATCCCGAGCCATGTCGGTGTCCACATTTCTATCCGCGGAATATTATTAGCAATATTCGCGCCTCAAAGGTGATGTTTCAAGATGAAAAATACGCACCCAGGATTCTGTGCCCAAATAATCATATCCTTATTGTCCAGTGCCAGCCATTTGAAAAGAAAATTAGCTAGGGCCTTGCTCGCTCCGTACGCAGGGATAGGCACTTGATGTGGAGGTAGAAAGTCAGCATTCTGTCTCCGAAGCAGTCAATCTGACAAGACCAGCCGACTAAGTACAGGGGGGCATTACGTACTGAAGTTGTACATATCCGTCAGACTTCCGCCGGCGCTCGAGATCAAGACAAATTTCGCCATTTTTCCCGCAGTGGAAGAGCGTAGAAGAGGGAGCACAGCTTTGAATAGCTGGAACGGGCCGTATGCATTCACGTCAATGTACTTTTGGAGCTCAGAGACGGGGGCCCCAACCAGACTATGGGTCGGGCCAGAGATGCCAGCATTTGCAATGACAACGTCGAGAGAATCAAGGTTGTGTGTCTTCAACGTATCTATAGCGGTGGCTATAGAGTCTGCAGACACTATCTCAAGCTTGACGATAAACAGGCTTGATCCCGAGGCCTTGGGAAGAGCAGACAGAAATTCAGACTTTGACGGGTCGCGGACCGTCGCTATCACTGTGGTGTCAGGGGTAGCTAGGTAAGTAGCTACGAGTCCTTTGCCAAGCCCTGTGAATTTGATGAGAAGGGCACCAGAAAGAAGGGCAAAGGGTCATACCGCGGTTTCCACCCGTGATCAGGATTGTGGTAGGCATATTTCAATCGACGCTAGACGGAGAAGATGCCAGGCAGTAGGGAATGATCAAGTTTGATGCAGAAGATTCTGAGGGTAGAAGATTTGATGAGACTTCAGGAGAAACGAAGAGTGGTGGTGGCCTTTATAGATGTCGAATCTAATCGAATCCCTCTGCTTCCCTTTACTTCCTGCCTCTAAATGCCCGCATCGTTCACGGGACAGTCAAATCTCCGATTCGAACTATACATTTATAAGCGGATATGTGGGGTGTAGACGAATGTTGATGTTATAATCCGCTGGGAATGTGTAATTGCCGAATGAGATGTCGGACCAGTTTCATGGTATATGGCCAACAGGGCTTGCGGATACCAGATTTCCTTTGCTTGTGCTACTTTGCGGCCAAAGTCCGACAGCTAGCGGAGGAAGCTCCGCAATATACTGCGAAACTCCGCAACCCTATCACCCAAGTGGCAGGCGGTGTGGACTAGCGGAGCCACAAATACGGGCTCTGTCTTATATACACAACTTTACCACTAGGCCGAAAAAGTGCACACCTCCTTAGTAAGGATAACCGTGTACCAACCCCACAGACGACCGACAGTGGCAAGCAACTTCCACTAATATTGATGGAAAGCATGTGCTACTATGCCCCCGTCACACCGAAAGTCTTGTCTTGCATGCGTTCAGTCCAAGCGAAAATGCAACAAAGGATTACCTAAATGCCAACGCTGTCTTACAAAGAACATCGACTGCGAATACAACGGCCGACATCCCGGCCGACTGCGAGAAACTACCGGAAGAATTGTAGATGAAAATATTGCCTTCGTGGAGCCCTTTCCAAGTGAGCTGTTCAGTGATTGGCAATTGCAGCGAAGTCCCGCGCTGCCCACCACATCAATTCTCTCGCCTCACACAAATGATGTATTATTCAACTTTGCAAATGACCCATTCGACTTTGAAAGCATACCACAAGGTGGCTTTCTTAGCTCTGCTGTTATTGGCGATACCGTCGCTCAGCAAGACCAAAACGATGTCGGGCGCATCATCTCGGATACAACTGCACAGGCTCGCGTGGACTTTGCAGCAAAGAAGTTAGCTATGGTTCCGAAGATATTTTCCCAGCAAGGGCAAACGATGTTCATCCACCGTATCCTAGTCCAAGACAGAAGCCCTCCTGTTTTACAGGATGCGCTCAGCGCTTGCGCTCTGTATTCCCTAAAAAATACAGAGAATCAGGTGTTAGTGTTCCGTAACTTGGAGCACAAACGGCAGCAGCTGATCGCCAACATCGATCCGCTCCTCGCCACCAAGACGGATCTACTTGAAGCGCTGCAAGCGCTGATACTGTACCAGATAATGAGTCTGTTCGACGGTGACATTCGCCTTAGGGCGCAAGCGGAAGTGGACGAACCAGTTCTCCTAACGTGGGCGAACCACCTTATGTTACGCACGCATCAAGTGCAGCCTCCATCGGCTCCAGCAGAAGCACAACATCTACTGGGAAGCACTTTTACGGACTGGCGGCGATGGCTGATCGAGGAGAGCAGCCGACGGACGGTAATAACAGCGTTCATGTTGAAGGGGGTATATAGTTTCTTGAAACTCGGCCGAGACACAGTTCCAGACCTACGAATGAGCTTCACGGCCCAAACTGCGCTCTGGAATTCGCAGTCAGAAATTAGTTGGCAGAGAGCACAGAACGAGAGGGAGTGGCTTGAACTATGGGTGACACATTGGGACGAGGCAGTAGGAAAAGCAAAGCCAGGCGATTTAGAAGAGCTCGGTATACTAATAATGGTCATGTTAAAGGGGATAGTGGCTACTGGGAAATGGTTAGGGCATAGTCACAATATTAGATACGGTTTAGAGGGACCGGAGTCAGATTCAATATAAGGACTTTTTGAGAGTTGGACTCCAGTTTTTCGTTGGTGAACCCTTCGGTGGTATGCTAACTGCTATCATATAACAGTGATGGAAAAGGCTTTTGTGCACATTAAAATCAGGAACCGCACAATAGGAACGGCATTCATTGTACGGACTGACTGTCACGACCGAGAGGTACCCCCAGGCGTATATAAGTCTTCCCTCCCTATAGTTAGCTCCTCGCGGAAGATAACTTAGTCATCTGGGACCAGTATCTCTCCGCAGTCCCTTATAGGTAGTAGGAACCCGTTTGCACACAGGGAAGCCCGGTTTCACACCCTTGGTAGTACGGAGTCTCTTTTACACTAGCACGCTATTTGCGCGATTGGGGTGGTGGCAGGCCGCCTGTTACACAGCATGGCACCTTTAGCCGACGAACCTCAATACTTCCTTCCCATAGCTATGTTCTCCTGCTTAAAATTGCAGACAAAAAGAGTTCCTGCACTGTAGCAAATAAAAGGAGCTTATTATGCTATGATTGTAGCCCTGTAGTTTAATTATTCCAGCTTTGTTTCATCTGTATCGCTATTGTATACGTTTTAACACTTGGTAGGGCTCAGCTATTCTTACAATCAGCTTTCTAATATGAATTTTGGTACGGTTTATGGAGTTAGAGGTGGTGTTGATAGAACACATTTCAGGGATTGAGGACACTATCAAATCACTCCGGCTCAAAGTTTGGCTTTGGCAAACCCCAGGATCCTCCCTACAATAGGAAATAACTAACCGTATGATGGTGGATTGGCTTTCTTCTTCAATAATTAGTTACCTCTAATATCTGTCGCGCCCAGGCCGCACTGTCAGATGGTCGAGAGGCTCTACCATTACAAATATGGAGCGTGCGACTACGTATTCGGCCGTAACAGTCTTCAACATACTCAAGGGCTATGAGTTTGCGGATGACATGGTACCACACTCGACCCGTTCTATACACTTGCTTTCAATCCATCTCGCTAAGCAGCTTTTTTATTGAGACATTCACTAGTTGCATTTCCGCTTCGACTGGACGTGTTAAGCATAATTATTGGTAACACATCGGCCGCGCTTAGAAGAATTAGGCACTATCGGTATAGTTGCGGAGTATGACGACATGAAATTAAGCTATGTATCCGCCGCTAGGTGTCGGACGTCGGGTGCTAACACGAAAAGAGAAAAGAGTAAAGTTAAAGCCTAGAACTGCCCAATGATAATCATCAAAGCTCCGCAAATCCGCAAATCCGCAGATACTAGCGGGACGTCTAGAAAGGGGAACGGTTGTAGATTAAAGCGTCCCAGAAAAAAATATATAGGATCTTGGAAGCATAAAATACGGTCCATGCCTCCCTCCATCTTGAAACTTCAACGACACTGTTCAGCCCTCCACTTCAGACACAAAATCATCTCTGTAGGTTTACAACCCAAGTACTACTATAGCGGCGTGCTTACAAAAATTAGCAACACGAAATGTCCGCCCAACAGCAATCTCTCAGTCAGTGGGTGACACAGATCAACGATACTTTGTTTATCCAACCAGATGACGAAGTCGCCCTCAAGGCTGTTGATGAGCAAGTTGACCCAGGCTTAGTAGTCAGGTTTGCTGCCCTAGCTCCGCACATCTTAATAGGCGCATCTAACACAGCCACATCGCCAGGATCAACCACAATGTTTACAGTTACGATCAATTCAAAACAGGCCTCCGGTATGCTCGTGCTTCCAGTACATCAATCCAAGACGAATTTTCTGTTATTCTCCAATGGGAGAACTTGGAGAAGCAGGACGGCGTGGTGGCTGTTCTTAGTAAATGGACGTCCACGGACAAGACATCAGGCAAGGAGACCAAGAAGACCAATGTGATTCTCTGGGAGGTCAAGTGTATTGATGGCAAGAGGAAGCTTACGGGGCAGACTGAGGTGGAGACTATGTGAGAGCAAGTCTGGCGGGGTTCTGTTACAGTAGCTTCAAGAGCTTCATCCTTTCCTCGCTCATATCAATATAAGCTGCCATCGGGTGCGGGTTTTACTTAGATGCTTTGTGTTTAGATCCGATGTGCAACAATTAACTTGCATTATATACTTCTACGTTTCGAACCTGTGGAGATATGCATCCACCAGGAAGTCGGAATGCCGTCCACCAAATTGTCGGAGGACATGCGAAACTTCTCCTGTATCGATAAGCAGACACTTTACCCAGCCTAGTAGGTTGTGGTTTAGAATCAAACTACCGAAGTGAGCTGGCTACAATGCACCGATATATCCCTATTGTTGAATACATATCCGTTGACTCCTGAGTTTACTTGAATTCGTTAAAATTCCAAGTTTAATTATAAATACCCTCAACTTTTTCGCCAAGCGCTGCCACGCGCTCCAACTGAATGGGATGGCAAGGAGCAAGAACATACAACATTCTCGTGCATCCGCTATTTTCCTGCCATCCAGAGAAATTTCTATTCCGCCCTCCAAAACGACACCGTAATCCAACGAGACAGTACGATTCATAGGACTCTCAACAGCGGATGGGAAGTCGACAACTCGGCAAACGGTTCCGGTCGAAAGAGCAAGACCCGGGGGCGGGGCGCTTAGACAGATTACCCTCATATTTCTTGATATCGGTATCCTTGGACAGCTGGGCTAGGAATTTCATTGGTGGTCTAGGCTAAACAGAAAGGGAAATCGTTGATGACCTATTGAGGCATGGGCTCCGGAACTTGAGTGTGAAAGACGGCTTTGCCATCTTCAGTGTGGGCGGTAATATACCGATTGATGGAGGGAAGTTCGGTGCTTATCTTATGGGGGGTAGGTAGTATTGAATAGATTGGAAGAGGGTGTGGCAATATCTTTTGAAAATTGAACTTGTGTTTCTACGGAGCACTGAAGGAGAGGTAGATCCTGTCTATAGGAAAGAATAAGTTCTTTTCGATTCATTGCCAGCCCAAATGGTTAAGTGATGTCGCAAAGTCTTCCACTTCTAATTGACGGGGCCGGACGGTCACATTTCTGAAGAGAGACATTTGAGAGCGGGGATGTAAGTACTAGGCTGGATGCCATTTTTGAATTTTAGAACTCTTATACAATTACGGTGGGCTACTTCAGGCATCGGGTAAGTGGAGCCAAAGGGGTCCCGTTTGTGCCGATGTGTCTCCACTTCTCCGCAGCGGTTAGCGTAATTCGGAGTTATGGGACCGTGTGCTTCCGATTCCCGCTTAATAAGCCATTTCTACAAGATCTTGTGATAATCTCGCTTGAGGAAGGCTGTTTTGCGTGAGAACGATGTAAAAATCTACGAGCGTAGCAAGGGTACAAGCAAAGTAGGTGCTGCCATCAATGTTGGGCACAATAGTGTCAAAATCATTGAATCCTTGGGTATCGACGGATCTAAGGTCGGTTCCTTAGCCGTTGGACGTACCAGGACGTGGAACAAGCAGGGCGAAATAGTGCTTTGATACCCCGCTCCACTGCCAGCAAGAGTAGTAAGAGCCGATTCTCAAGTGCATTGTTTCAGTGAACAGATAATTTCCGAAATCTTTGGTTCCAATCTGAATATCCCGAGACCGAAATCTTTAAATCCGAGGTTTCGCATTGCAGACAGCGGGGTGGGTATGGATACTGGGTGGAGCCATCCAATGCAAGAGTCAGGACTATCACGGCTTCGGAACCTGGAGTTCTTGCATACCCGAATTCTTCAAGTTAATTATGGAACTACGGTCATGTCGCCCATAGTGGCACATTTAGTGGCACATTGAGGCATTTCTTGAGTACCGGAAGCAGAGGTTTCCATTACAGAACGTCTCCCCTAAAACCTCTTACCATCTAGATCGGTGACTGGCTGTCTCGTTTCGCCGATCAGCGCAGCTATCCAAGCAAGCGTTAGAGTACTCCTACTCGCTGTACATAAGAGACCTGCGCCGCCTGTGGTTCTTCAATTTTCCCAGCTTCGGCAGCTCTGTCAAACTTAAGATACAGTCATGCACCAAGGGGAGCAGACCCCTATTGTGTTTACGGCAGCCCTAGGCTTGCTGGCCCTGGTCGCATACTATGTGCTTAACAACCTCTATTACCGTTACGTCCATCCGTTATCATCCTTTCCAGGCCCTGCAAAGGCTGCTTCGTCGAGCAGCTGGATATATAGAATCAATGAGAATGGGTTTCCGGAGGAGGAACTTGAGAGGCTTCATGAACAATATCGTTCGTTCAATAACCGGATCCGGCCCGTGCACTTTATGATCACTAACTCATCTCCAGGAACAAATGCATTGCGAATCGGACCAAATGAGCTTCATATAAGTGATGTCTCGAAATACAAGATTATCTACAGCCAGGCCAATCCGTTCCCCAAATGGGGTCGATTCTACGAAGCATTCAACTCCCCTCACACGGTATTTACCGAGATCGATGCAAAGATGCATAAGGAGCGTCGTCGGCTTCTGAGCCCCGTATTTTCCCGGGCCGGGGTCTTCAAACTCGAGCCTATGATCCATGACAAAGTGCAGACTATGGTGAACAAGATCGACCGCCTACGGGATTCGACCTATGTCAATGTATATGATGCATTCAGGTGAGTACACAGGATTGCAATACTTTGACTTTTGTCCTCCGGATGCTTACCAGGCGAATGCCCCAGATGTCTTACGACGGAGGTTATTACAGAATTTGCCTTTGCCAGGTCAGCGAATATGCTAGAGGAGCATGACACTGGCTTCGAGTCTTGGTTCCTTACTGCATTCGATGCTGTTGCGAACAGTTTATGGAAGTTGCAGGAATTTCCTCTTTTGAGAAAAGTTGCCGGGCGTCTGCCTGACAAACTGGTAGCAAGCATTGATCCACAGCTTGTGAATGTTTTTCGAATGCTCAAGGTACTTCATTTCTGGTAATGCCTTCTGCGGTCGTGGTTTACTAACCCCCCTTTAGTATGCTGAAACTTGCGTCAATCATTACGAAATCCACGGCAATACCACTTCACACCCAGTCGTGTTCGATAACCTCTCCTCTTTACCTTACCAGCATAAGGTCACGGAGGCTGTGGATATTTTGATTGCAGGAGCCGATACAACAGCTTCCACCTTGACAGCTGGAATGATCCATATACTTTCTAACCCGGAAATCCACGCCAAGTTGGTTGATGCTTTGGGTGGTGTAGGTGCAGGTCGCGGTAATCCGCAGGCTTTTCAGCTGCTTGAGCTGGAAAAGATTGATTACTTGGTAAGTGAATGAGTGAATTAAGATGGTATGTCTATTTGATTTCGAAAACTGAGCTTCGACTCTCTCCTCAGACGGCCTGTGTCAAAGAATCCCTACGAATTGGCATGGCAGTTCCCGGACGCTTACCACGAGTCGTGCCCCATAACCTCGCCCAACCGTTCATTGTTGACGACAAAATTGTCCCTCCTGGAGTACGTTGGCCCCATGGGATAGTTTCCATACTCCCAAAATCTATTGTACATTCGTTAACTTTGTATAGTCAATTGTGTCTATTTCCGCGTATACGATGCACACCAGCCAGGAAATATGGGGTCCAGATGCACGATCATTCAATCCCGATCGCTGGTTAGGGCACGAGTCAAAGTCTCTGGATCAGTACCTCTGCACTTTTTCCAAAGGTGCCCGAATGTGCATTGGCCAGAAGTAAGTCTTCTGGCAGTCTTTGATCCTGGTGATCCTGATGCTCTATAGCAGCAACGCTAATACTGGAACTTATTATCATATAGTGTAGCATTTGCCGAGATTACCATAGTGCTGGCTTATCTCTTCCGAACTTTTAAAGTCTCTTTGCCCCCTGACTTCCAGGCTCCGCATAGAAGGGATTTGTTCACGATGGAATATTCAGCGCCAGGCTTGCCGCTAAAATTCATGGCTCCTTAAGCGGCATTATACTTTACCAATCTTGCATCTACAAATCCTTCAGGCCTTGTTTATAGCATGTAAAGTTAAAGCTACGTAGAGACAGATCTCTACTTACTATCATGTCTTTACTGTTCTAACATTCAGACCGTCTAGCGTTTAGTCGAAACACCATAAGTCTTCATCGCAGCGTCCATACTACGGGATCGCATCAAGTGACCATAGACGTAGTATGGAGATACGACTTGTAAATATATCCTCGACAGAATGTATATTTCCCGAAAATACCATAGTCATAGATACCACTCGGGTTTAGTAGTAGAACCAGATACATCCCACTCCATCGCCGGGAAATGTCAATATTTGTGATTAAACATAGCATGGTCTCATACCCGTCTTCATCTCAAAACTCCCCAGTGTTGCCTATCACTCCAGCAACTTAATGCTGGCAGCGGTAGCAGTCAAATTGGTCTGCGCAAGAGACTCCCCATTCGCGCCAACAGCCTCAGCAACAAATCTAGCAGAGGAAGACAATGCAAAAGTCGACTTCCAAGTGAAAGCTGTCTCGAACGAATCCCTTTTCACCTGACCAACTTGAGTCTTCTCCTTCCCGTCGACGTAAAAGAATCTCCAAGCCGAAGTCTCGGTATCCCCATTCCAAGACACATAAAGCTCGACAAGATTAGACGCTGTTTTCAGCGCAACCAGTGCAGGACTTTCCTTCGGTGTACCAGTCCAGTTCGACAAGAAACCGCGGTAGCTGACCGACCCCGTTTGGATAAAAGCATGGTACAGAACCTCATTATCAGCATCAAATTCGGTGAACGCACCCTCCGATCCCCAGTTGACAAAGATTCGGTCGTCAGAAAGCAGCTGCGTGTTTCCCTGGGATTGTGCCTGGAGGTCATACGGTGCTGCTGCCTTTCGGAGAACTGTCGCCGTGCTATCTGTGTGGTTTAACTGAACAACTAATGCCCGGGACACATTGTTGTATGTGATAGTGCCGTCGCCGGAGTTGTCGAAGAACGAGATTACCTCCGTTCCGGGCTGGCTGAGCTGTGGATGCCAGCGGGCATGGTGTTGAAAGCCAAAGGTCCAGTTGCCGGTTTGTAAAAAGCTGGGGTACTTGCCGCCGAGCCGCCAGATGATTGAGCCGTCTGTGCCATTTATCTTGAAGATCGTGCTCGTGTGTCGGGACGAGAGCAGGTAGTCTCCTTCTTCGTTTTTGTCGATGCTGTTAATGTGGAAGTAATCCCATGCCTGGGCAGAAGACAATCCGCTATTGGCGTCTGTGGAACCCAGCGCCACTAGACTTTCTATTCGGAGGTTAAATATGGCCTTTGTCAAGACATAGCAAATTATCTTACCAGACGGGTCAACGTGTTCCAAAGCATTCCACTCAAAGATCAACTCTCCAGTGGCAATATCATTTTCTGTCAAATAATCAGAATTAGCAAATCCATCATCTAATTTTCACGATCCACAAACCTTGAAAGATCCCATTCCCCAACCACTGCTGCGAAGAATTCCCACCATACGCCGATAAATTTGCCGGGGTCGTATAAAAGACCTCAATCAAAGCCGTCTCTCCACCGATAACATTAAACTCATGAATCGACGAAACACGATGATTCGCGGCAGTCGAGGTGACAACATGCTGATAACTCTGATCGAGCAGGACATGCTGCCCAAACCCTTCACCATGGGCCCCATCAATACTACCCTGGAATGCCTGAAGAACAGATTTCCCCTGATATGTGGTGACATGGAAATTAGCTACGAACCCGGCGTAGTACCCTGTGCCAGCCCACACTAAGTCGCCGTCTTTGCGATAGATGTATGGACCGGGCCGTTCGAGGCCCCCGCCAAAGGAATATGGGGCGATGAAGACATATTCGGACCCATTGTGGTTTGCAGCGGGGATTGTGATGTTTAGTTGAGGTGGGATGAGGTCTGGTCGTGAATGGTAGTGGCCCTTACTTAGTGAGGATGTTGTTGCCAGGGCTGCTAGGAGGGTTTGCTTTAGAGAAGCCATGGCTTTCTGGTATTATGTAGCTTTGTTGGGGTCAATTCTTCGGGGTTCTATTATTTCCTGTACGACAAGTGAGTTGCGCAGCCATCTTATAGCGGTTACTGACGCTTTCTCTTCTCTGGCATCTAGAAATTTAGCGCTTTCGTAATATAGTTCGTAGATAACATCATTCTGTCTAGGCTGCGTGTATTGATGACCCATTCTATGGGGATATCCATGCTTTATCCCACATTTAATTAAATGGCTTTTTGTAGCGAGTTATTGTGTCACTGAATCTGCAAATGGCGCAATTCCATCTGCACGCCAGCTAAGACTATTTGCCGATTGCTCTTATTTCCCACTTAATTGAGAAACATAATCTTGAACAACTCTAGTATCAATATAAAATGCCCGACGGTGGTTTTTCTCCTCTTTTGCCCGGCAAGTCGACAATTCAGCCATATGGCATGCGCTTAACTATTAATTACTCGGTTCAAAATAAGTACATGCTACTGATATGGCGACACCCTGCCGGATTAAAGGAACTTTCAGTCTTCAAATTAAGAAATGATTAATATCTCTAGGCAGGTTATACATAGCATGTTAGCGCGATGAAGTTATAAGATTGTTTAAATCTGTCCACTAGAGCTCTGTCTCTTCAAGATCTTCTCAACAAGCTCATCATTAACCGGTGCCCTAACACCATACATCCCATCCATCCGGCTCCAGCTTCCGTCGACGAAATTAATTTCAGTCTCTCGCCCTGATCTAGCATCCCAGACCATAGAGCAAGTGGTATTCGCCATCTTTACAATGATTCCGTGAACCGTCTCCATCCACGCTTTCTCTTTCTATTTAGGATCAGCTCATATTTTTCAATACTCGCGTCCTGTTATCTACCAGCTAGTATGAAAGACGGACAGCGAATTCCAACGCGAATTTAGAACCGGATTCGTGGAGGACCACATGAGGGATCACAGATTTACGGCAAGGGGCGTGATCCTGGATCCGATTGTAACCGAAGCGGCAATATTCAACATTAATTATAAGATCAAATCTAATGGCAAAGGGTAATATAGGCTTGATGCATGCACTATATACTGTAATAATAGCTCAATTATCCTATAAACTAGGTGTGCGATACGCGCATGGGGTGAGCTTCGGTGTTGAACACGTAGGCATTATTTTGGCCCTTCTGGACTTGCCATGGGGCATCTATATCAAACCTCAGCATTAGGAATGTTTTGAGGAAAGGGAAAAATGACTGGGAAGACTAGCAACTTACCCTCTGCATGTACAAGGTACGCGTATTTCATAACTTCGGCAAATAGGAAGCTCTCCTCATTATCATACTTCGAGCCACCGCCAGCTGTATTCACATTGCTTACAGCAGCAAAGCCTGAGTCAGTGCGGCAGGTAGAATTGATCGCCTTAAAACTGTTCCATACCCAGTCGCGGTACTATATCGGTCAGTATATTTGGAATGCCAGTATACGGAAGAACGGCTCACGATTTCATTCCCCGTGACGCGGTAGGCGTAATAGAAACTCTCGATCACTTCAGGGCGCAAGTCATACGCGCCATTGTTGATGTAGAATCCAGCCCTCTCGTAGAAATCCTTTTGGTCGGATGGCACTTTCTTTGGGTCCCAGCCCCATGACTCTGGTCCAATGCCGGTCAGGGTCTGGTTATAAGTAGCCTCGCAACCATCCACGAGCTTCAAGCCGAAATCTACGAAATCTGGCCGATCCAGCACAGTGCCGCCCAGGATGAAGCTGCCGCCATCGAAGCAGGTCAGGTGCTGTGAGCTGAGATCATATTGGCCATTGTAGTATGAGGCCAGCCAAGTCACTTCCGGGCGAGGGGCGGGATGCGATTGAAGGTGCTTGATTGTCGACTCGGCTGCGAGGACCCAGCGGTCCTTGTATGACGCAAAACGCTTGGGGTCGTACACGTACATCTTGATCAGATATTCGTAGAACGAGTCATCGCCGCCGTTCCAAGAGACAGTACCGTCGGTGAAATAGCCGTTGGAGATGTTGATGTTGCTTCCCACTAGGCCGGGGAATGGCTCTCCGCTCGAAGGCTGAGGCTTCAAAAGGTATGACTGGGCCTTTTGGCTTATCTTGGCATACTCATCATCACCAGTCAAATCGGACAGTCGCGTCCACTCTAGCACCAGAGTTCCAGTAACTGCAAGGCCATTGGTACTCGAGCCATCATTTCCCTTGGAAGTAATGTTAAGGTTATTGTAGGGGACACCGGATGGTGTATCAAAGGCAAACTTCAAGACATCACCAAGTTTCTTGGACTGGGTAAGCAGGGCATCAACTTGGGTTGATTTTGGGGCAAGATTCTTCGTTGCAGGATCCTTGAGCAAATCATAGCCAGATAACATGCCCGCCAGATATCGGATAGTCGTCTCAAACAGGCTGACCTCGTCCTCAGTCTTTGAGAAGTCAATAGTTTCAATGTGGTCCAGGATCTTTTGAACAGCATCCTTGTTACCCATGACAATGGCGGTTGAAAGCGCATCGACAGCGGAGGCTCCCCATCCATTCCTGTCGAGTGTGAGTTCACAGCAAGAACCGCATAATGGGACATACTCACCTAGAGTCACCATAGCCATTGCTCACGGGGTGCAACTCATCATGAGGGAAAGCATGTTCGACATATCCATTCCATGCATGTTGGAAGGCTTCCTTGACAGCATCGGCCTTGGCCTGATTCTCCGACTCGTGGCGCAAGACCACCTCTTGCTCAGGGTGAGGATAGGCCGCAGAAGACCCAACGAGGCCCAGAACCAAAGGAAATGACAGAGAAGGGATGCGCATGATTATGCCGTGGATGTGGTTGGGTATAGATATACGGGTTTATTTAGGCACGATCGATCGGTGCAAGGGGCACCTGTAGGAATAATTTCAATTGCGAACGAGGGACCACCTGTACTGCAACGCAGCAGGTCAATGCAATTTCTTATATATGATGGGTGTGTGGAATGAGGATACAATGAGGTTACAGTCGACAAGAAAAAGGGCGAAAGGGGAAGGCACGCGGACACACACACGCGACCCCGACTTGTTTATGATTTCCCCATGTCCCTTGCATTCTGATCTCCATAAAATCGGGTCTTGTACATTGTGCATTGCCATTCCTGTAAAAAGAAAAGGGTCCGATCGGAAAAGATTCAGGGGTATTGGTGATCTGCATGGGCTCCGCCAACTATTGGCTCGCATCGGAGAATGCAAGTGGCCGAAGTATCTTTGGTCTCGGTTTTCACATATTTGGGATCTTGTTGAATATACCGAACACGATTCTACATTCTAGACCTTCCGTCGACTCGGATTTCCCCAGAGACTACTAGCTATACGAGTGATCAGGCCAGACGACCACTTGACGTGACAAGGAAACATGACGCTCGCTCGTCTTCAGATGCCTCATATCCAGGGACCAGAATGTACCTGACTAGCACGGTCTTGGCTGATAAAAGCCACTTGCTGTCACGCTGAGTGCTTTGACGTGTAACATACCCCTCAAATGTGATGAGGTTTTGTCACCAGACTCTAGTCTCCAACCCCGGCAACACATAAAAGTCACCATCTCCAGGTTTTGAGATCCTTATGGACTTGATTGATATCCAACCGAGGAACATTTATGGCCATGGTGGACAGCCCGTGACGATGCATTGGGCATTTGAACTCCAACCACTTGTCTCAAGTATTTTGTAGTTCGGAAGTATCGGTTGAGAATACAACATATGTGTACCCCTCTATAGCCTGGCATCCATGTGAGAAATCGTCAAAGCGTGAGTGTTTTGAAGTTCTCCTACATAGTTACAATTTATTCGCGATATGTGCTCTGTACATCATCTGTATCTGTCGCCATTTCTACACTACCTACATAGATAGGCAGTTCCAGGTTGTCATTTAGCCGAATCACAAGATCATAGGATCAAAGAACTGATCTAGACTTTGTACTCTTTTCCAACCGACCTTCCATCAACCTTGTTGATAATCAGTTTCTCAATGTCAATGTCCTGTAGTAGTCGGACCTAATATGCTTAATTAATAGCTGCAATATAACATTGGCTATTCGACTTACATTGACGGCAGTGATCCGAAATCCCTCGTCTGGAGGACAGATGAAGCAACTGCTTCCACACTCTCCGCAAAAGCGATGCTTCACCTTGCGCTCGGTAAAGTGATAATCTTTTAGGACATCCTCTCCTCTTTCGATGGTAAGATCCTTGGTAGACGGGTACACAAGCAAGTAACCGTTCTTTGTGCAGATGGAGCAGTTGCAGCTATTGGCGGGGTACTCGTGCAGGGGCGGGGATATCGTGAAGCTGAACCGCACAGCACCGCAATGACAATTACCGGAGTGGGAGCTGCTCTCGCCTGTGGGGGTGGGTGGGAATGGCATATTGATGTTAGAATAGCGTTGACGTTCTCACAAGGTACTTGCTGGGCGTTGAACGGCTTTTAACTAACGGGCTTACGCGAAGTCTGCTTACCTCCGGATCCTTCGCACTAGGCATCAGTTTGATGAAAAAAAATCCCGAGATGCTCCGAAAAAGACATTTGAGGTCTGTATGGCATTCATCCGTCATATACCTTGTCGTACCTGTTCTCTTCTGACGCTCCGGGACCTTGCATCTGATATTGACCGGATGGCCTTACGCGATGGTTTCCGATCATTCTAGCATATACTCCTCCTCTCCTCCAGGATTCCAGCTCGAAATATCTCAAATAGGTTGCTTACACGCAGCTTCATCGCGATCTAAGTGGAAACCCCCACTTCCAAAATGTCTCTGGCACTTCTACATTTGTCAGATATCGAAATATACAGATTTGGCTGGATTATGTCTGCATGAGAATGTTTAAGCAAATCAAGTCTTGAATTAAAACCATTTGTTTTCAAGTCTCCGCATCCTACACCATGGCATCATCCAACACATCACTGGTTGTCCGGGTTCCAGAAGGACAGCCCAACTTGGTCAAAGAAGAACTTTCCTTGCCGAAACCAGGCAATCAACTAGTGCAAGTCAAGGTGTCGCATGTGGCACAAAACCTAACGGATGGTATAATCTGAAACTGCGCCCCTTCGAACCATGTAGCTCATGATCTATAGTTCAATGCTTTGATGTAAATGCATTTGGCGATGGAGCCGTGCTCGGCTCGGGTGTAATTTTGTCGAAGTCACCGAGTTGGGTGACACAGTCACTCGATTTGACAAGGGTGACACTGTGGCTGGACTGATATGGGGTGGTGGGTCGTGACCTCAAAAAGCAATGTCGCCGCGACAGAGCGTCTTAGTTTGGGGTGACAACTGTGAGTGCTACATTTCAGAGAATCATGAGTTGTTCCGGTCGTGTTAACGTGACCCGAAGGTGATTGAGAAGATCACCGAGGACGTGCCTGATCTTCAATATATTTTTGATACCATTGGAAACACCACATCTTCCGCTCTTTCTTCTCGGGCCTTCGGCGACCGTGAAGACCATATATGTACTGTGCGGCCAGGCAAGGCAAACACAGAACAGGTCACTGCAAATACGCATTCACCGATGTGCTTTTTTGGACTGCTTTCTGAAAAGACCACGGCTATGGCAAATTCCATTGGCCAGTAAGTAACTCTTTGGTGGGTTTGATACCACTGCTAAGCATGATTAGACCTCGAAGATGACCAGGAGTTGGCCAGCGAGTTATTCGAAAATCTGCCCTCGTGGTTGGAGCAAGGCCAGATCAAGCCAAACAAGGCTAAAGTTTTGCTTGGGTTAGATTCTATCCCCTAAGGGCTCCAGGAGTACCGGGATAGCAAAATCTCTGCCTATGAAATTGTCTATGAGGCGGTTCATGGGATAAATGAAACATCCGATATAGACTGCAGAAATGTAGATCACAAAATCAAATCACTAATCAAAATCGCATGATAGAGCGACCCCGGCGGCCAATCGATGATTCAGCGGGGCCGGGAAAAAAAAGGTTGCACAAGGAGTCATCGCTCTCCTCCACAATTTCCCGTTAATTCAAAGAGTCCTATCTTTTAGGGGATTTAATTCTCCTTTTCAATCTTTCTATCCTCTACTACTACATCTGCCCATCATGGCGACCCCCTTCCTTATCTCTCACGACCCCTCCTCCCCCACCTCCGGCTCCGGACTTTCGCTCAAGCAGATCGCCTACTTCGGCCGCGTATTGATCAAGGTCTCAAGTCTCGCCCAGGCAGAGCAATTCCTGCGCCAGAACTTCCGCGCCCTCGATATCTTCGTCGACGCAACTGAGATCTCCTCCTCCGGTGATCTCGTCGATATTCTCAACGCCGGTGCCGCCAAGATCTTGATCAACTTGAACCAATTGACCACTCTCTCCGAAGAACAATCCGTGCCCTCATCCCGCCTGCTTGTAAACGCCCTGTCAGACTCTGAATTGGGTACTCTCCAGCAATGGATTGCCGTCAATGCTGAGCGCAGCGAAGCTAGCGTCTGCACTTCACCTTCTACCGTCCCCGCCGCCGCCGAGAAATTGAAGATTAGCTCAGACTCCCCACGCCTTTTCACAACCTTCGGTACTCAGGCAGTGTCGGAGGATGCCATTACACAAGTCACAAAGCAGGGTGCGATCGCTGTCATTCCCTCACAGGCTTTGACTGTTGAGCGGGATGTGGCTGGCCAGATCTCTGCCGCTAAACTTATTGCGTCGACGGCTGTTACCGACCAGGCCAATGGCTTATATGCCACTTCTGTCACTGATGAGCGCGGAGCCTGTCTGGGCTTCGTTTGGAGCAGTGATGAGAGCATTGTCGAGGCCTTGCGCACTGGCACCGGTGTTTACCAGAGCCGTAAGCGCGGTCTATGGTACAAGGGCCAGTCCAGCGGGGATGTGCAGGAGTTGATCCGCATTGGCTTCGACTGTGATTCCGACTGTTTGGTCTTTGTTGTCAAGCAAATCGGACGTGGTAAGAATCAACTTTCTACATCGATGAATGATGTTTGTATACTGACCATGGTGACTCATTAGGATTCTGCCACCTGGGTACAGAGACCTGCTTCGGCGCATCTGCCGGTCTATCTCGTCTCCAAAAGACTTTGGACGCCCGCAAGGCCGATGCTCCAGCTGGATCATACACCGCGCGTTTGTTCAATGAGCCCAAGCTCATCGATGCTAAGATCATGGAGGAGGCTGATGAGTTGTGCCGTGCGGACACCAAGGAGGAGATTGCTTTCGAGGCCGCCGACTTGTTGTACTTTGCCCTCACCAAGTGCACTGCTGCCGGTGTTAGCCTGGAGGATATCGAGCGGAACCTTGACCTTAAGAGCTTGAAGGTGAAGCGGAGAAAGGGCGACGCCAAGGGACCTTGGGCTGAAAAGGCTGGCCTGGCTAAGCCCGAGTCAAAGCCTGCCCCTGCCCCTGCCCCTGCCCCTGCCCCCGCCCCGGTCGAGGATCGCACGACCCGAATTGAGATGAAGCGTGTGATCACTGCCTCTACTACTCCCCAGGTGGTCACCGATTACCTTAAGCGTCCTTCGCAGAAATCTAACGAAGCCATTGTCAACCTGGTGAAGCCAATCATCCAGGATGTCCGTGACGGCGGCGACGCCGCTGTGCTCAAGTACACCCACAAGTTCGAGAATGCTACATCACTCACCTCCCCCGTCATCCACGCGCCTTTCCCCGCTGAACTCATGAAGCTGTCCCCTGATGTCCAGGAGGCAATTGATATCAGCATTGGCAACATCGACCGCTTCCACTCCGCGCAGAAGGGAAGCAACGACACCCTCCATATGGAGACCATGCCCGGTGTGGTCTGCTCCCGGTTCTCACGTCCCATCGAGCGTGTCGGTTTGTACATCCCGGGTGGTACCGCTGTGCTGCCCTCCACTGCCATGATGCTGGGTGTTCCCGCTATGGTGGCAGGCTGCAACAAGATCGTCCTGGCCTCGCCTCCTCGTTCCGACGGCAGCATCTCCCCCGAAATCGTCTACGTCGCCCACAAAGTCGGCGCTGAGAGCATTGTCTTGGCCGGTGGTGCCCAGGCTGTGGCCGCTATGGCCTACGGTACCGAGAGCATCACCAAGGTCGACAAGATCCTTGGTCCAGGCAACCAGTTCGTGACGGCCGCAAAGATGTTCGTATCCAACGATACCTCCGCAGGTGTCAGCATCGACATGCCCGCCGGTCCCAGTGAAGTCCTCGTTATTGCCGACAAGACCGCCGTCCCGGCCTTTGTCGCATCCGACCTTCTCAGCCAGGCCGAGCACGGCGTCGACTCACAGGTTATTCTCATCGCCGTCGACCTGAACGAGGCCGAGCTGCGTGCTATTGAAGACGAGGTCGATTCCCAGGCCAAGGCCCTGCCTCGCATGGATATCGTCCGCGGCTCCCTCGCACACTCCGTCACCTTCGTCGTTCGCGACATCAACGAGGCCATGACCCTCAGCAACGACTACGCGCCCGAGCACCTGATCTTGCAGGTCGAGAACGCCGAGTCTCTTGTTAAGGATGTCCAGAACGCCGGCAGTGTCTTCATCGGCGCCTGGACTCCCGAGAGTGTTGGCGATTACTCCGCTGGAGTCAACCACTCACTGCGTAAGTCTCTCTGCAACTGCTTTCTCTCTTCTCTCCCTCATTCGGTCCTACTAACATTTTTTCTTTCCAGCTACCTACGGCTACGCCAAGCAGTACTCGGGTGTCAACCTCGGCTCCTTCCTGAAGCACATCACCAGCTCTAACCTAACCGCTGATGGCCTGCTCGGTCTCGCCAAGACAGTTGAGACCCTTGCCGGTGTGGAGGGCCTGGAGGCGCACAAGCGTGCCGTCAGCATCCGTGTTGCCCACATGAAGAAGAATCAGTCATAGGTCAAGTGAACCATATATATTCTTTTGGTTGTCGTTTTCTTTTCGGTTTTATCATGATTGGATGTGCCATGAACACAGATGCATAGTTAAAAAGCAACTCGCCATTGGGCTTTAAATTGATTTATGTACAGCCAATCAATAGAATGCTTTGGAAGTAAATGAGGTAAATTAATTATATCCGGCAGATCAACGGTATATGTATACTAGGCCGATCATCCCACTATCTGATCTAAGACATGACGTTGGGCTCCACTCAAGATTTCGAAATCTTCAAATGAGTCACGATCAGATAAAAAAATATAAGAAAATATGATAAAATTAAAGCAAGACGCCCCTAGCATAATTTTGTATGTACCCTCCCAAAAAATTGAATCCCCAAAAGAAAATGCTCAGAAAAAAAACCCCAATGCAACCGATACCCCCACTTTCGTCATCAAAATGGAAAAAAAGTAGCCCACAGTCGTAAAGTCGAGATTATATCTCAAAGCTGCGCAACATCATTGAGAATCTGAACCTCCTGTCCAGGCTTAAAGGCAGGAAGACCCATGTAAGGACAGCCGTCACAGCGGAAAGCATCACCCAGAGCACAGCTTCCACAAGAACCAGTCTTGCCCTCAACGGTGAAGTCCACCTCTGCCAAGTCGCCCGTATCCAGCTTCATCACGTTCAATTCCTTATCTGCGTTTGCGCGGCGCTCCTTGTCCTCTGCTTCGAGTTTGTCGGCTAGACCACATGTGCAATCTTTGCAGGCACGTCGCCGGCGGCCGGTCTTGGGTTGGCACTCTGGGGCTAAAAAGATGGTGTTAGCTTATCTAAATCTTATATGAATGTAATATGCAAGGATTGGCAGGGAGTGGGTAACATACGCGGCATTATCGGTCTTGTTAAATCCTCCTCGGAGAGGAGCGTATCTTCATTAATGAGCTCGTCATCATCGTCGTGGTCGTGATTACTTGGCGAGTCTATTCCCATTGGCGCAGTGAAGCCTGTGGGGAAACTGGGAATAATAGGGGCTGCAGTTGGCGGGATAGGCTTATTCTTCTTCTTCAGGCCGAATTTTAAAGGAACCGCGGCCGAGGGATCGAAGCTTGGTTTTTCGAAGCCGTTATCGGACTGCACGAGACCAGCCAGGACAGCTTCCATAGCGTCTGAGGCATTGAGGGCTGAGTCTTGGGTTTGCAGCTTCGCACCGGGCTTCATGGAGGGGACAAGAGTGGCGTATACATCTCGGGTGAGGAGTTTCAGCGCCTCGGAGCGCCGTGTGCCGTCTGTATCGGTGAGGATGAGGACGAGGTCGTAGGTTGTTGCGGGGAGGGAGACAAGGCCTGCGGAGAGCCGGTCGAGCATTTGTAGATCTGTGACTGAGCGGTCGAAGGTGCTGAAGAGGCTGCGGAGTTTGTCCTCTTGCGTGGCAATGGAGGGGGGTGCCAGGAGGAGGGTGCGCTTGGACTGGACAGGCTTGGGAGTGGAGAAATCCACGTCCATGTCGTTGGAGTCAATGGTTATAAATGAAGGAGCCATTGTTATTTTTTTATTTTGAGATATGAAATGTAGGAAAAGAGAAAAAGATGGAGAATATAATCCTCCCTTGGGAGGGGTGGCAAATGATTATTAAGCCTTGTGGATGTCTCCGCGGGCCCTCCAGGTCTGCCGATTAGAGAGATTGTCCTATCAGCGATGGTGTGATTACTTGAACGTTTTAGACTCTTTGCGACAACGGAGTATCAGAGGACTTTCTTTTGATTTTTGATGCCAGTCAGCGACGATGATTAGCAACTGATTAGAAATGTCACTCGTGGACATCTTGAAGACTCTATCAAATGACCCTCATTCCGACTCTTCTTCCTAAATAGGGGAATCGAACCCGCCTCCGCATCTGGCGGGTTAGGGATATTGGGCTTGATTTAACCTTTATTCCTTTATTCCCTCTATTTTCCTGACTATTATTGAGTCCCTTTTGTTTGCAGTTCAATTACATACAGGGTCTTTTCGGGTTTGCTTCCAATTTAGGGCAACAAATTTAGGGCAACGATTTACAGTTTCCCAAGGGGCATAGCTGCACCTGAGCATGTTCTTCCTTGTATCAGATACATCCTATAAAACGAAGGCCACGAGTGTATAGAGTAGGAAATTTTCTAAATATAAGACTCTATCAGACTATGCAATTTCCGGCATGATCTCTAAATTTACTATCAATATATTCAAGAATCAACCCCTACCCTCGAAACTCCTCAGATTTTCGACTAATGGCAAGATGATAAGTTGAAATATCTCATCTTGCATCTGTTCATTTTCCAGTGTAGAGTCTTTGGTGCCAGGCCAAAGGAGACATCGCCTCGCTACCTTTTCATATTCTGCACCACTTTGCTCCACCACCACCTGCAAGAGGCGGGTTGCAGTCTTTAGATTCACATATGCCTCCACCGGATCGTCATCCTCCGGCATACGTAGTGCCTCTAGTGTCTGGCATAAAGAAAGTTCGACGAGGACTAGGCCCAGGGGAAACAGAACCTCGCTTTGAATGAGCGAGAATGTTGGCTTGTCTCTGCACAGGGTCCAGGCATCCAACTCACTGCCGACGTTCCAAAGAACGTATGGCTTATCGATATCCCCAGACGAAGTCTTGGTAAACATGATATCGCGTGATCTCCACTGTGTTTTCAGCCAGCTTCCGTGAAATTGAAGCACGCTGCAGGCGAGATTAACCGCAACACGAAGACGATGGCCCCGTGTGAAAAGAAAGCTGCCGCCAATAGGCGCCTTGAAGATATCACTTGAAGCCGCGATAAGCTCAGCGAGCGATTGTGATCTCAGGTTCCCAGCGAGCTTTCGTACATAATACATATTGTGGCGGTGGTTTTCGTCGGATATAAACCCAATAGGTGCATTTTTCTCGCCGCTGGTCCCCACGGTAGACAGCGTCGAGCAAATGTCTACAATCGGAGGCACCGAAGACATATCAGACATCAGAGGTGATTTATCTTCAGATGATGTATCGAACGCAAATTGCACTTTGGCCTTCTTTTTAGCGAAGGGAACTTTGTCTTGATCGCCCTCGGGTGGGGATCGGTTCAAAGTATCCACGCTCGATTGAATGATATCCGATTTGGCTTCAATCTCGCACCATCCCTTTGCAAGATCTATAGAGCTGTTGGAAGGGAAAATCATTCGGAATCGAGGCCCATGAGAGGACTCTTTAGACCCATCATTTATGTCCTCTGGTGGATAACTAAGAACAAAATGGATTGAATGTTGATCCATACAGGCACATTTCCAATACCTGCTCCGTAACATTGCATTGTGCAGACTGCGGGCTGATTTTTGGGCCCTTTTCTGGCGCAATAGGGGTCTTTTTGATATTCTCTGTTTCTGTATTGTGCTTCGATAATCGGACTGCTCTACCAAGGTATTCAGGACTTTATTGGCTGCGTCGATACGAGCGAAGAGATCGAGGTAGACGCTTTTCGAGAAAATGTCTTTGAACTTCTTGATTTCTTTCTTTATAGCGGACTGGTCGACCCGATTGTTCTGTAGTATGATCGAGGTTCTGGTTAGCCCTAGACCTCGGGAGCGGGCCGCGGGATATTGAACTATACTCACCAGCGAAACATTCTTGTCCAATCCTAATTTTCGTGACAATTCCTCCAACAGAGTCGCAATCTCTATCATCATCTGGTTGAAAGGGTAGAAGTCTCTTCCTAGCTTTTCATGAAGACTCGTTTGCAGACTCTGTCTTTTCCACAAATTCCCGAGAGGGTTGTTCCTCAGTTCCTCCAGCCCGTCTTCGTATTCAACCACTCCATCGAGGGCTCGCTCCAGAGTATTGACGAAGATGGCTTGCTGGGTTCCAAGGCTTGATGAATAGCTTTCAAGTTCCCTACGGTAGCGCTTGGCTCCGAAGCTCTTGATAGTCTCAAGACCCTGGACATAGTTATCAAGCTGGTTGATGACCAGCGGGAGAATTGCTAGGGCAACGCCTGCAGCCTCCATATTCGAATAGTCGAAATGGACAAAGATGAACTAGGGGTCAAAAGAGCCCAGAGGTCCTGCTGTGTAAGCGCGGGGGATCCCTCTCAGCCGCAACCCCGCAGCAAGATCAGCCTCAAAACGTCCAGTCTCGCAAAGTTCGATGTTATTCTGGCTTAAAAAATTAGAGGTACAAAAGGGTATTTGCCCCAGATCTGCCCAAAATGATGAAAGATCCTCAAGCCATTGTACAAAGGCGAGGCATCGAGCGGAACCCAGGGCGGGTGACCCCCCCAAAATCGGAGCTCCCTGAGGCTACCATTCGGTTCTTGCCATACCAAGATCCCCCCAAGACTTCAAAACCCTCGTTATATTTTGCCACAGTCACCCGAACCCTACCATCAGGGAGCTATGCTATTCCCGTCGGTCGATACTCGGAGCGTGATGGTATACCCATCAACAACCCAACCGAACCCTCAGATGCGCCTGTGGGGTTTAAGTCGAAGGTTGTTAGCCGGCAACACTGCGAGTTCTTATACATTAATGGACAGTGGTACATTAAGGATGTGGGCAGCTCTTCGGGGACATTTTTGAACCATGTGCGCTTAAGTGAGCAGGATGTGGTGTCCCGTCTGTATTCTATCAACGACGGTGATATCGTGCGGTTAGGCGTCAATTTGAGAGGGAAAGAAGACACGGTCTTTCGATGTGTTCGGATCCGGATTGAATGTAGTCGATCGTGGCAGCAGCACCCAGGCGACCAATCCGTCATTTCAGAGAGTCAGAACTTGCCAGAGCAGCAGCAACAAGAATCCCTCTCCGCTTCCAATCCACATAGTTCGCTCCAACTGATGCTCCAGCCGGAGAACAGTAAAGTGGCCGATTCAAGGGAAGCCTCTGGAATGGAACCTGGTTCTTATTTCCTCGATTCGTTTCAATCCAGACTTCAGCGCCTTCAAGGTAAAATCAATACTGAGATTCCAAGATGGATTCGTGAAGCGCGTCTGAGTCAAGGGCAAGAGATTGCCCATGACGAGGCACCACTCAGTTACCTTGATGTCTCAATCAAAGACACTATTCCTAAAGATAGATCGGAAAGAAAGCAAAACTCTTCTCGATACGCATCCTTAATCACGAAGCTAAATCTCGACGAGCAAGCGGCCTTGCCAGCAAGGCCAGTTGAGAACCATGAGCACCCCATGATAACAACGACGACATCCCCCATCTCTACGACAAATATTTCGTCTGTCGTGGTTCAATGTCTCAAAGATTTAAGTCGGCTTGTTTCCGAAGACTTGTCATCGTTCGCGTCTGAAGTCCCGCCAGCGCTGTGGAAAGATGAGCTGGGTCGTTTGCGGGTTTGGGCTGCTAATATTGGGGCGCACCAGACCGGTCAATCGTCGCTAGATTATCGATTACGAGATGCATCGCACATTAAAGAGCAGACACTTCGCGTCCTTCAGCGGCTGCAACGAACCACCGAAGATATCAATGACATTTTACATCACTCACACGGAGATGACGATTTCTCGGATCTAAGCGGTGATGAAGATGATGCCGAGCATCAAACAGAAATGCAGTCTATTTATCATGCTCTACGAGATACTATCAACAACCTGTTCCAAATGTCAATGATAATCCGGCAGCCAGCTCAACATGATCGCTTTCTTGGCACCAAAAGATCGGATGCAGTCTCTTATGAACAGTTTGACCAGCGACATGTCTCAGACAAATACCCCCAAGCGGGGAGAGGATATCTCGAAACGTCTTGGGCTGGCAATATCACAACGTCGAGCCGTTATGCAGTATCGTGAGCGTCATCGCACCAAACTTGGCCAGGGTCTCAATCAGGTCATTGAAGATCAGACAGACGGACAATCAACCAAACTATCAGACACAGTTGCAACTGAGTTTGTAGAAGTTTCACCAGCGGCAAATGACAACTTAGAATTGCTAACTATCACCTCACAAACATCTTATGCTCAAACCATATTGAACGGGGCGGAAGGAGCGGTTCTCCCGTCTCCCCCAAAAGACTCAGCCAATGGAGCTCCATTTGAATGTCCATATTGTTTCGTGATCATCACCATCGTAAACCGGAGGGCCTGGGCTCGTCATGTCTTTAATGACTTGATGCCATATCTGTGTGTCTTCCCTAGCTGTCCGACACCCCATCGATTGTATGAAAGTCGCCGGGAATGGTTTTCTCATTTGCAGAGTCAGCATTCCATACCTGAAACCCCAAATGTACATGTGGACTGTCCACTCTGTCTATCTTCGCATCCATCTGGGAAGCAGCTTGAAAGACACGTGGGCCGGCATCTGGAAGAGCTGGCGCTCTTTGCGTTGCCGCGATCCGAAGAAGACGACGACAAAGCTGCAATTTCTTCTGATGAGGATTCTGATAAATCACAAGATCCGGTCAATAAGGGGCGATGCCCCCAATGTGATCTAGTCTTCACCGACCTACGATCTCACGTCTTGACGCACGAAACAGAGCGTCCAGAAAAGTGCCCGATTATAACGTGCGACTACCACACCAAGGGGTTTACTCGCAAATACGATAAGAATCGCCACATACTGACCCACTACAAGGGCGTCATGGCGTGTCACTTTTGTCCAGGTGCCGGAACACCAAAAGAAAAGAGCTTCACTCGTGTCGATGTGTTCAAACGCCACCTTGTCTCTGTCCACGGGGCGGAGCCGATGCCACCAGACGAGCGTTATCCAAGGCCAACTTCCTCCATCGAGGGAGATATGAACCAACCCAGCAGTTCCACTGGAAACTGCTCTATCTGCAGTGAAGCCTTCAGGGACGCCCAGGACTTCTTCAATCACCTTGACAACTGTGTAATGCTCAAGGTGATACAAGGATCCTCCGAGCCCATCAACAACGTGCGCCTCCCTGAGATGAGCGAAGATGAAGAAACGATTGATGGTCGCCGCCACTCTAGCAGTTCTGATCGCAGCCAGAGTGAGGAGAAGCCTTAGCCGCGCAAATGGAAGACCCGTGTCCCTCGTCACCTTGCTCATATCCCCACCATAATCGATCTAGGGTATCCGTTCAAGGAAGAGGTTAGTGTTTTGTTTTCTAACAATGCTATTGTCGGCTACTGACCTAAGTAGGAGGATGTGATCGTCATTCAAAGGCTATTATCAAAGGCCCAGATCGACGAAGTGCTAAGCCTAAGCCGCGAGTTTAAGCAGCCTTCGCCTGTGGGAGGTGAGTGGTATCCGTATCTGTATTCCTAAGTCCCCAAAAGGAAGAGCAATATTAACCAGAACCAGACTCCCAGTCTACCAAGGAGAACGAATTACCTGATGATATCATTATTGAGATTCCTGAGTCCTCGGGAAGAGTCCGTAAATTGTATCGATGTTGGCAATGTGATCCTGACAAGAAAAGTACAATCTTTCCAAACTTTGGTGTCTTTAAGAGACATTTGACTGGGCATGGTATACTCGACTGCGAGTGGCGTTGTTCTGAGCCGCACTGCTCCACCGTCCTCCACCGGCGAGATAGGATGCATGACCATCTTCTTCGCAAACACAAGAGATCCGGTCTATTCCCAGTTGATATAGAGGCAACCCGAGTGAGATATGCCACTCCAAACAACTGTCTCTTTTGCTTCGGAGACACCTTCGTGGGGTATTTATTTCGACCACATCAAGTCCCATTGTGTCATTGAGGTCGAAGACTAGGTTGAGACAGAGTATTGTAATCACGAGGCAACCTTAGGCTGCGAGCGGGCCACAGCGGGTGATCCAGCTAACGCGAGATGCATCTATGAATTAGCACTTAGTTAATTCCACCCACCATACCACTAATACGATCCCGAAGCTCTAGAAGTTCAATATAGTAAGAGGGTAGGCTTTTAATAGCCATCGAGGCTTTTAAAAATAAAATAAATTGCCACTATTTGTGAAGTAAGACACTATTAAAGTCCCTCGCTCTACTTTATAACATCGCCTTACTAGGTACTTAGGTGACGGTCAAATCTCCTGGTATAAGCAGCGGTGTCAGGTTATCACAGGTTCTGGCTATCGGTCCCGGATATCCTTGAGATTGGGTCTAGTGTTACCGAGTTTTTCCAGGAGTCGATGGTCAGAACTGAAGTGGGTTCCTTGAATGCTTCTGTATGCGCCGGACTGCCTCTATGGTGGTTGGTATCAATATGTACAAAAAAGATGATAGCGAGTCATCACTCATAAACTCCGTCGAAACAAAGACAATCAGCGCTTGCGCTCACGGATCTTCCACTTGATTCCGTCCTTGTTGGTACCTCCCACGGAATTTTCCATCTTAGCCCGCTGCCAATCAAGCTCTTGCTCTGCAGTCCGGATTTCAGCGTGTTGCTTGTGCAACGCAGTAAGCTTGTTTTTACGAGCCTCGATGGTTCGTTTCCGGAGCTTGCGAGCCCGCCGAGCATCTGCAAGTGCCTGCCGCTCAACCTGAAGCTGCTTGGGTGTCTTGCGGGTCTTGCTTGACGTCTGATCCTCTTCCTCTGATTCCGAAGCAGGTTCTTCTTTCTGTATTCTCTGCTTCTTCATTGCCAATTGGTCTTGTCGATCATCGGCAAAAATCGTCCTGGTGGGTTTCGGTTGCACCGGGGCTCCGAAATCGAAATCGGAATCGTCGTCAAACCCATCATCCTCGTCATCGCTCTCCTCGCCGTTTTTCCCATCCTTTTTGCCAAGGGCCTTGTTCATGCCATCCTGCAATTCCACTTCGCGCTCCAGGCGCTCGATCTCACGGCGCACCCGCTCGCCAACCGTCCGAAGATAACCCTTGTCTTGCGTCTTGAGCAGCTTAATTGCCTCATGGCTCAGTCCCTGTGCTGCAGCAGAGTCTCGTGCTGTGCCTTTGCCACGTCCGTGCCGACCTTGGGTTCGGTTCTTGTCTCCCATCATACCGAAGGCGAACTCATCAGGGTTGCGATCCCGCGCCTTCTCTTCGAGGCGCTTCAGCTTAGCCTTCTTGGCATTGTAATCTTTGGCACGGAGCGAGTAATCCTGTTGAAGTTAGAATGTCTGTTTTAAGATTAGATATAAAAGGAAGCTCAGATCATTGTTAAATGTTCCAAGCGCTCCTCCGCAGGAACTGACCTTGTGCTTCTCGAGGAGACCCCATTTCTCGCGACCCTGAACCTGGCCACGCTCTTTGTGGTTCCGCCGTTGGACGGCGTTGCGCATGGACGACATGCTGAGTTTTGGTGTTGATAATTCCCGACAATAAATAGAGCACAAGAAGGTGTAGAAAATAGAAAAATCTGAAAATCAAAAAGACGCAAAAGTCTCCAGCAGAAGAGTATAAGTCAAAGTCGAGATGCAAAGTCGGAGAACTTTTTTTTCTGATTCTGCCAATAGTAACATTCTCTCCGCCCGAGCTCGGCTCACTCGCAATCAACACTCCCACTTGACCTTGATCTTCTCTGCAAAGCCATTCGGTAAACCCCTCTCGGAACTACTTCTACCTCTCTCAGTTTGTTTTATTGAGTTCTGAAGCAGCTGAGCTCACATCTTGTCCCTCAACAACCGGGACCAATCCCTCTCAAAAGCAAACTCTCCGATCAACCTGCCCATACACTTAACCCGATCAACTTCGATCTTTGCGATCGATATACAGTCCCAATGGCTACATCTTCCACATCTCCCGATACCTCTTCAACGAGTGTACCTAAGAGTGCACCTAAACAATATAATCTTCGCAACCCGCTTCCGCTCTCGGCCCCCCAAGAACAAGAAGTGAAACTGTTGTACTACAAGCGAGTACGCGCCCATTGCGCCCCCGAGATTAAAGGTATGCAATTTACACTGCTTTACACACCAAATCCGTCACCTCTTCACAACCCATGCATAGCTTTGGCCTCGCAAAAGCCGGTCATGGTGTCAAGCGGAGGAGCAACTCCGGATCGCATGACCATGATCCACTCCCACACCTGGAATATGCCTGAAACAACCAACTAACACAACTACGATATAGCATTTGCCGAGTGCGCCGTTAACCGCACCGTCACTGCAACATGGATCTGTCGCCAGCAACGTCTTGCAATGAATTCATGCATGGTCGCCCACGCGAAGCCGGAAGAAGAGGACCGCGCTCGAGAGGAGTGGTTCGCGGGCTATGAGGAACGCCGGCGCGCGAAAGAGGAGGATCTTGCACGTGTTGAGAAGCGACGTGAGGAGGTTATTCGCATGATGCGCGAGGATGAAGCGCGCACGCGAGCGGGGAAATGATGGGACATTTCCCTTTGTACTCCTTGGATCCCTCCCGCTCTCGCTCTCTTCATTTCTTGTTTGAGTATTTCTTGTCTATACGGGTTTCGGCGTCTTGAGTATTCTGCTTCTTGCGTTTCTCCGAGCTTGGAAACGGGAACTTTCGTCTTTGGGCTGAGTGTTTAGCGAAGGAAAAGGGAGTTGCTGGACTATTACTGGCCTGACTGCCTGATTGGCTGAGCCTTGCATGTCCCAAGGTATTCAGCCCATAATCACAGTTCTAGCGGCCAGCCTGACCTTCTTCCCGCCCTCAGTTTGATAGACAGATATCAAACTGATCCCACCGAGCATGTCGGCCCTGGACTTTCTTGGCCAATCCGGACTCGGACTTTATATCTTTTCTCTCTCCTCACGGCGCACAAAGGCAAACAAAGCAGGCGTTTTGCTGGGCATCTTTATTACATTGCATGATCATCCCGAATGCGAGCGATGGGATGGACTGAATTATGTACAATATACACACAAACGATTGCATATCTTGGTTTAATTGACCAGAATGATGTCTTCTTTATCAGTTTATTTGCCGATATGATTAGGCAAGGGAAATTTGACCCTAATTTGTAGACACAAGTCATTAAATAGATGCTCTCCATGATAGTAAAAGCCAGGACACCGTCCTATGGTAGATTAGAGAGAAAAGGGAGAATGACAACACCAAGCGCCAGAAACACCACCAGCCCAAGGCCAAAGGCAGAAGAACCCCCGGGCGTAAATGCACTCCCTTAAACATCAGTCATTTTCCGGTCCTCGTCTCCATCACCTGCCTCACCCATAGTGGTATCTTCGCCGAAAAGATCCTCCATCTTCCCATCATTATCATCCTCGTCTTCATTATCTTCAGCTCCATCACCACCAACACCCTTCCCAGCCCCAGGCTGCTGCATCACATCAGGCATCTCATCTTCCTCGCCCTCACTGTCCCACTCATCCTTCATATTCCACCCCATTCCAGTAAGACAGAAGCGCTCGGGAGGTAGACGCATGCCACCAATAACAACACTCTGGTTCGCCGCAGGAACAGCGCCATTGGCGCCGGCAGCAGAATCGAAGCCACGCGATACACCGGGCAAAGCAATACGATTCCTCTCCGACGCGACCTCCATAAGGAACTCCTTCGGTAGCCCTGTCTGGAACTGGAAATGCAAGCGGGAGGCAATGGCCAGCCGCAATGCGGGCAGAGAAACACTGTTCACTTCGGCGGAGCCCTTTGTGCCCGCGGTACCGTCTGTTGCCGCAGCGTATCCTTCCGTCGCAAGGTGCACGGAGTCTTGTAGCACATTTGCGGTGTAGCGATATGCGAAGTCGAGCAATTGGAGGGGCACCCGGTCTTGGTAGGAAGTTACCCCGAGTGAGGCGAGGAGCATGTGGACCAGCCGCACGTCCCGTGGTCGTCGCGTTTTTCCACTGTCTTGAGTTGATATGCCGGGTACTGGTGGCGGTTGTGGCGCTGTTGTTGAAGGGCCTGTTGCTGGGACATGGGGTTGGGTCTGGGAGCTTGTTGCGGCGGGCGCGGAGGCCCCGTTCGCGGCGGAGGAGGATTCGGCGGGCGGGGTGAGAGGTTGTGCTGTGGGCGCTGAGACCTGCGTTTGGCCTGGGGATGCCATTTTGTCTTAGATTGCTGACCGAAGATCAAGCAGGAGGCAAAGAGCGAATTGCAGTGTTGCGAAAGTGGTCGACGTTGAATTAGGTGATGATTAAAAGGCCTGGAAATCGTAGTCGAGGAGCATTCCTGGCACAACACTCAGAGGCTAGGAAACAGCCAAATATTCCAGTAGCGTTCAGTGTACGGGTGGAGAGAGGCAAAGTGATGGCTAAATGAGGCCGAAAAGAAGCATGAGCTCCAGGACTCCGACCCGTGGACTAATATCACGATTAGGTAATCGCGTTGCCTGCAGCCCTAGAGATCACCTTGAAAAACAGTCATATGTAATGCTATTACTATAGTTAACTAGTTAGTTACTACATTCTAGAGTATCCTTAGATAATATACTGAGCCATTCAATGTGCGTGCGCAAGTCTATTCACTTGTTTCATTCATTACATCCTATCCATCTCATGGTCCTATTCAATCCTCCGAGTATGTGCGCCATGAATGTACAAAAACAAATCCAGAAACGCCATGAATGCCATGGATTAAAAAGTGTCAGGCACAAACGGCCGTGTATAATGCAGTTTCCAACTCCAGGTCTGCATGCAATAGTGTTGAACTTGAATATATCGCTGTCCGAGCAATCTAATGCAGAATCCGACTTAAGTAAAGCACTCGCAAGACGGGTATCTATGACGCAAGAAATACCCAGGGATCAATCCCTTGTCAGGGAGGAATAGCAGTAAGTGTATGTTCAAAGATTCTGAGGCATCTTGGGCCGGATGGGAAGAGAGGTTGTGCTCGGCTCAGTTGCTTCTTGTGGTTTCTCGGCAACGGGAGACAGTTCCTCTTCACCGATAGCCCCTTCCACCGACTCAAGTATTGAGCCTGCTGGGTTGGACAAGGCAACCGAGTCCTGCGACATGTAGCTTGCGGCGAGATCCCCCTCGGTCAACTCAGCCTCGTCAAGGTACTCGCTGCCTTCACCCTCGCTCAAATCTTCATCGTAGTCTTCATCATCACCATCTTCGTCTTCTTCGGCCAGGTCTTCATCGACATCTTCCTCGTCTTCGTCTTCGTCTTCACCTTCATCTTCATCTTCCTCCTCGCTGTCTGTTGTCGAGAAGTCTGCGAGTTCATGCGGTGTGTTTCTCCAGTAAGTGAAGTCCGTATATTCCTCGCCACCGTCATGCACAAGAAGGGTGGTTGGTGGGAAGAAATGGTCGAGTAGCTCTTGCATCGTCACATAACTGCTCTTGTACTTGTTGAGACTAAGCAGATCCAGAGACACTTCAGCGTTAGAGTTGATTGTGAAAATCCGGGTAGAAGGAATGTTCACAGAACGATAACTCAATGCGTCAGTCAACCGATTTCCAAAGCCAGCATAGAAGGGATTCTCTTTGCCGCAGAAGAGATTAAGAATATCCCGCAGGCATGCCATCTTGAAAACTTCGGGTTTTCTCAGGTAGATTTCCCGCCGCAGTGCGGCCATCGTGCGATCGGGGCTGCAGATCACTGGACCTCTTGGTAGTCTGTATCCATCTTGGCAAATGCCGTGAAGATACGCCCGTGTGGTATCTGTCTGGCCGACAGACCGACTCGTAAGATACATGATATTGTACCCATTGTTGGCAATGTCTGTGTACAACTTGGCGACTCCCGCGTGCGTCCAATCTCGTCCGATCATATTGAGAACATGTCCCAACGCATCCGACTTAGTGATAGTTCCATCAATATCAGAAATCACGATCGGGGTGTTGCCATTCCACAGATACATGTTCGCAGTGCAAATTGCTCTGTTGACGCTGAAAGACATTGTGTTGGCGCCGGCCTTCAGTTCCAAGGCCTTGAGTTGATCACTTGTCAAGCGGAGTGTCTTGGCATAGTTGCGGGTTTCGACGGGGAAGGAATCATGCAAGGGTGAGTCAGGGGGTGTAGGAAAGCCGGGCTGGACATCTGATTTGGTTCGATGATGGCGCGTAACCAACGATGGCTCCAAGACAGCGTGTTCGCCTTCACTGTGGTATCCTGGGTCGGAGAGAGCATCATCGCTCATTCCCATATTCGGCCGCATGGAGTGAAGAGTGGCTCTCCGATCAGCTAGTTCTTTGGACTCTTCGCTGCTGTATATCCACAGGTTGCCGTGTTCATCGGCTCCAATCAGTGCACCGATATCATAGCTTCCTTCAAGCTCTTCCGCAAGAATCTTGCGCGCAACAACCTCCGCGCGGAGGGCATCTTCTTCGTTGCTCTTGTAGCCAGTCATATCCAACATCAGGTCTCCAGTCTCGGTCACATGTGATGGAATATTGGAACCAGACAGCTTCTTTGACAGCGAAATGGCACGAGACACCGCTTCCTCGGGAGACAGAGGAGGGCTGCGAGAGCGGTGTTGTGTTTCGCCCTCGATATCAATATCATGGGGTTCATCACTCCCATGTGCAGATTGACCGGACAGAAAGTGTTGAGGAGAGCTGGTTGAAAGCACATTGTCCGACAGTGTGTGATCAAATGGCGGCTTATTGCTCAAGGAGCCATGCTGTGAACGGGCCACGTCCGATTCGTCTGGAGATCGTGATAAGGGTGTTATTGTCCCTGTTAAAACAGTCAGTAATGGCTTGGATCGAAACTAAGGGTTGAAGATGTGTCTTACCTAAATCCGTGTTTGCACGTAGCTTGTTCGATGGCATCGCCATCGCCGGTGGGGTCTTTGCGCCTTCTGACAATGCATCCCCATTTCCTTTGTCCAGGTCAAGGTCAAGGTAATCTGGTTCCTGCAGCGAAGGGAGAATATCTGGTTCGCTCTGAGCTCTCGGGCTGGCTGCTGGAGACACCAACGGCGAGGTCTGCAAGGATGCGGGGATGTCATCGGTCGTTTCAAAGACAAAGAATGCCTCACCCCCTTCCCCCAGTTTCATGGCATATTCTTGTTTTATGCCATTCACCTTGAATTCCACCTTTTTCTCAAATGGACGCAAGAGCGAAAACTTGCCAAACCGGACATGAAAGGGCGAACAAGCGAGGGTGCCTTGAAAGAGAAAAGCCAAATCAGTATCTTGCGTGAATCCCACCTCTCAAAGAACTGCAAATACCATCTTCTTGCTCTATGACAATTACATCAATAGCCCCGCTAAGGGTGGCCGGGTTGATAGAATTCCATGTCTTGGAGACGGAACCACTTATAGAGCGATAGAGCTGCATCCCGCCAAATGGGTGTCTAGCACCTTTGACAGTGGAACTGGGTGAAGTCAGGCCAATCCGAAGCAAATTCTAGAAATGCAGAGAGGCAAAGAGAAGGTCTGAACGATCAAAAAAAAGACTTGAGACAGGTTTTTGGAGAATCGGGAAGTTAAAAGGCCCATGTGACTGACACTTGAGACAATGAAGGCGGCTACATAACCATTGTCACGGGATAATATCAGCACAATGTCAGCCACGGAGATGGTGTTATGAAGTCTCAGCCTGATGATAGAAGAAGACACAAATAATTTATTCCGATCTACCCCGTACTTCCAACATTTGTTGGTTTCGTCAACAGCATTCAACGCCCAACACTTCTGATTATGTCAGCCTTGTAGAATGCCGAGGTCCCGTAGCGGCTGATCTCCGTTTGGCGCTAACCTGTTTTGGGTGGCTAAGGTTCTGGATCACGTGGGGCTTATCCCACCGCCCACTCCGGAGAGCATTGGCGATCCTTGCAAGTCTCCTGTATCCCGCTGCCCACGTCCAATGGGTTATAGATGTTGGGATGTATGAGCCGCTATACTTTGCATTTGACGCTTACCCAGCAGTGGTCCCTCGCGTGAGAGTGCGAGGTGTCATGGCCCTCTTTCTCGCTGCCTCGATCTTATGGGCTTTGATCTGGTAAGTCCCTTGTCTGTTCCGGCGTTTCCTTTGCTCAACTGACTCAATGTATGAAGGCTTCTCTACCGTGCGTGGCAGGTATGTCAAACTTCAAATGAGGTCCTAGTCGAGAAGCTCGGTCTCGACATTCCTCCGCCACCAGAGGTCACCCTCGAAGAGATCACAGCCCGTGAAATCCGCCTTGCTTGGAAACAGCCCGACTTCCATAACTCAATACATAAGCATATCATCCAAGTGAATAATGTGAAAGGTATAAGATACGCATGATACTTTTCTGTCACTAAACAAAACACTAACGGTCTCTAGTCGGTGAATCCAAACGAGCAGAAACAGCGGTGGAAATATCAAATTTGCTACCTGGGAATATTTATCATATCTGTGTTCTTTCCGTTAGTGCCGCCAACTTTCAGACGCCCAGTGCAATCCTCCATGTACGAACAAAATCTCTTCCGCTGTCCGAAGCCCAGCAGAATGGCAACGCCGGGGGTCCGATTATCCGCGCCTCGATCCCCAGGTCTACAGTAGGCCTGCCAACGCCATCTGCCCCGATAATGTCTCGCGAACATAGTGCAGGCCAATTACCGGGGAAACGGCCCTCCGCTGGACGGAAAATTTCACCCGCGGTTGGAAGCACAGACGTTTCACACAGCCATTTCGAAGAAACACTCAAGAGCAGAACAAAAAGCGCCAAAGATGAGACTTTGGAGCAATTGGCAGACCGCTTGAAGTCGTTACAGCACGAGAACGAGAACGTGGAGAAGCAGGGGGCAGAGGAGGAAGAAGAGCATATTGCACTGTTGAAGGACCTTGAAAAACAGCGCAGTGAATTGCGGAAGCGTGTCAGGGAGAAGGATGAAGCAAGTGGCGACTTGAAAAAGCATGTCTATAAGCTAGAAAGCGTCAACCGGACCGTGCAGGGCGAAAAGTCAAAACGCATGCGACTTCTTCAGCAGAAAGAGGCGGAGCGCAAGAAGCGCAAGAATGACATCCTGCGATGGCAGGAGAGGATTTCACGCATGAACTCCGATGCTATACAAGCAAAGGATGACAAGGCCAGAATCGAAGAAGAAGGGACGGTGCGAGCAGATGAGGTCCGAGCCAAGATCGCGAAAGAGCAGGGGGAGATGAAGACCATCGATGATGAGATTCAGGATAAAGGAGGACGGGTCAAGAAGCTTGAAGAAGAAAGAATGGGATTGCAAGAAGGCGATAGTGAAGATGGCAAGGAGCTGGATCGGATCGACAACGAGCGAGCTCGTCAGTGGGAGCACAAGCTGGGTAACCTACACGCACGTTACGCTACACTTGTGAATCTGCACACACAAGCCCAGCAACAATATCAAGAAGCCCAAGAACGTCTAAAGTGGCTTACAGCCCAACGACCCAGCAGCTCAGGACCCTTTGCCTTCCCGACCTTGGATCTTGATATGTCAAATACTGCCACCATTCGTCCCCGTCGCCATCGCAGCTCACTCAACAGCAATATGTCTTCCCCTCTGAACTACCCGGGTGTCGAAACGTCGTTTCCAAATACCGTCAACTACAACCCGTCCGGTCACTCGCCTACATTTGCTCCCAGCTCCGCGTTTTTCAATATCAATAACGGTATGGCCCTTCCAGGCTTGTCCGATCCCCCCGAGATCATGCGCTCCGATACGGAAGTCGCTTTCAACAACCCGCAAATGAGTCCCCGTGCGGATGCCCTCTTGCCATCCGATCTCCTTGGTGACGAGGAATCGCCGGAATTCCCACGATCTATAATTCGTCCAAGATTTGCAACTATGGAGGCATCCAGTACTCCCTTGGACAGCTTCGGTCACGGCCCAGTGTCGCCTGTTTCTTCGGACAGTCGAGCGGGCAGTATATTTGCCAGCCCACTAGAGACTCAAAATCGGCAGGATGAATCCCAAGGTGTCCATTTGTCTGCTGCTGGGGAAGCCCCGAAAAGCGCTTCCCGAAAGCTTTCTGGACTTTTCGGTTTCCACCGACCTCGTGGGAAAACCCTGGCAGATGAATCTCCTATGCTGGGTTCTTTGAAACCCGGTCAGAGCCAATCCTTCCCTCGCAATGTTGACGAATTGGATCCAATCGGTGCACGCCGGCGACGATCGAGCTATACTGGTAATTGGGCAAACCCGAGGTCATTGTTCCCTCGAAGCAACACGGCTGGTGTTACCATGGACAGCTCTTCTGATCATGCGCCCTCCCGACGAGCTGCTTTCTCGAATATCTTTTCATCCAGCAAGTTTGGCTTTGGCGGTGCTGGGACCCGTGGGAATCCCGATCTTAGCAGTGGGTACAATCAATTCAGTCCTCGACATGATCCTATTGATCCATCATCGCTTCTCGGTGGCGTTCGACGCGGTTCTCTATCCCCACGACCTTCGTCGACCTCATTCGACACACCAAATCAGCTTCCGCACCCCTCGACAGACAACCGCCATTTCGGGTGGCCATCGACTGATAATGCTGGACACCGCAACAGCCCGCTTGGATTTGACTGGGCCGCGCCATCCAATTGGTCTCGAGCTCCTTCTCGGCGACCTTCAATCCAGTATGGATCGTCGGGTCATCTTCCTCTCGGTCTAACCGGCGAGCCTGATTTCGTGGAGGACACGTTTGATCGCCATCATCGGCCCCTCCAGGCACCGATTGGTACTCGTCCGTCATCGTCTCATCGACCGTTGACCCCAAAGCTGAACCCCGCTGCTCCGGCGTTCACGGCGGTTCTCACGGGCGAGAAGTCGGAAATAGACACAGACAAGAGCAATGATCCCGATAGTCCATTTGATATTCACGAGTACGATGGATCTCCTTCTGACTCTCGCACATCTCGCTCCCTGTCCCTTTTCACTGGCGATTCATATGAATCCTTGGAGCGCATGCCATCCGGGACTTCCATGGACAATGCCTCCAAGGAGTCGTTCATTCGCAAGATCACGCGCAAGGGCAGTTCCAGCAAGTTCAGCTCATGGAAGGATCGCTCGGGGCTTTTCTCTAAGAAAGGTGAATCCTCGCAAGGTGATATTGACGAGGATGCGGCCAGCGAAGCGCAGCTCGGCAAGAGTGTCGATAGCACTGTCTCAAGTGTGACATCCGCGGACCGCTCCACCCGCAGCAGCCTAGGGTTCTTTTCTCGTAAGTCTCGCAAGTCTGACAAGGCCAGCGAGACTAGCGAGCGAGCCAGTGAGACTGGCGATGAAGAGATTCCTGAGGTTGAGAACTCATGATTCTCACATGTATATTAAGACCATCTTGGTTTTGTCCTTTCACTTTCATTTCCTAGATTCTAAAGTATCCTGCTCTCTTAGGGTTTTTGATATGCATCTCAACAACATACTAGTTTTATTTATGGACTTTTTCTTCTTATTATTATACATAACAACTATCTGGGTACACCTAGATACTGTAGTGACCCTATCGTCTTCACAGAAAATTATTGTATTAGTCTTATCCATCAAACCACTTCAAGTCCTCAAAATCGAACCCCTCGAGTGACTGGGGCAAATGCGGGCGGGCAGAAATCGCACAAAATGACAACCTTGGAACTTCCATTCTCCGGGCGTATTCGTCACTTAACATCAAAAGTCCAATAGATCAAATAATGGCGAACTCAAGGTAAGCATTGAAATTTCCAAAAAAAAAAATTTAGTCCAGCTACTGAAAGAACACAGATTTGAGTACGTCAAGTCCTTCGAGCAGCCGGATGTGCTGCTCCCCAATACGTGGATTGTGGTCCGCATTGATGGACGAGGATTTCACAAGTGAGTCTCCATCTCTCGTTACTTATAGGGATGTTCTATGCATAAGGAATCTTCATGCAAGAAGTATCCGTCTTCCTATGCGTATCTTTCAGCAACGTATGATGATATGGCTGCAACAATGCTTTCATCTGTGTACTCAGAGTCTAACATCCATAGACTCTCTGATCACTATGCTTTCGCGAAACCCAATGACCGCCGGGCACTAGATTTGATGAATGCTGCGGCAGTTGAGGTCATGAAAGAGCTTCCGGACCTATGCATCGCCTACGGAGTCAGTGACGAATTCAGGTATGTCCAGCTCGTTTCATTGCTATCCTCGCAATCACTAACAGTACTCCCTCAGTTTTGTCTTCCACCCTAACTGCCAACTTTTTGAGCGGCGCAATGGGTGAGTATTCCCTCTTTGCTTCTATCTCCTACAGTGTAATTTGCAACAACGGCCGTTGACAGGGCTTCTTCTATGCAGGAAACTAGTGACCACCATCGTCTCTACGTTCACAGCACACTACATTTACAAGTGGAGCGAGTACTTTCCTGAAAGACCTCTCCTGCCACCGTATCTGCCCTCTTTCGATGGGCGTGCGATTGTCTACCCAAATAACCGTATTCTCCGTGATTATATGAGCTGGAGACAGGTTGATTGTAAGTGACTGTCGCATGGCGATATGGTCTCGCGATACCCTGGTTTTGAACCACATATGGCTAACCTAATATGACTAGGTCATATCAATAACCTCTACAACACTACCTTCTGGACAATGGTGCTGCAAGGTGGAATGAGCAACACAGATGCCGAGCAAGAGTTAAAGGTGGGCTATTGTTCTTCCAATTCGAAGTACAGGTAATTGACTTGGTATCAGGGTACTGTGTCTGCGGACAAGAACGAGATTCTCTTCAAGCGGTTTGGTATCAACTACAATAACGAGCTGGAGATCTATAAAAAGGGAACTGTTCTCTATCGCCAGGTATGCGCCAATTTCCATGTCGGCTTTCATTCTGTCTTGGCCCATTCTAACATCTCAACAGTACGAGCTGGAGGAACCTAAGCCTACCAAATCATCTGCAGACGAAGAATCACTGGTGGTCGAGTCTCAGCAGTCAAGGTCACAGCAAGACAAGATCCGCAAACTGCGCCGGAAAGCACAGGTCGTGGTTGACCATGTCGATATCATCAAAGATGAGTTTTGGGAGAAAAGACCGTGGATTCTATCCGGTAATCCTGGAAAGTTACCAGCATAGCTTAAATTCAACACAAAAGCAAAAGATAGACATTTACATTTCCTATGGTTGCAAGTCGTGATTTCGCCAAACAAAAAGGGTATCTTGGTTTCTAGATGGCGTAAGATAAAACTGGTATATGCAGAATTTTATACATGGTCCTGACATGCATGTAAAGCGCTCCAATATCAAAATAGTTAGAACAAAAGGGACATCAGGCTTTAGCCTTCTTCTTGTCCTTCTTCTCCTTTTTAGACTTTTTTTTTGAGTCTTCAACGACCCCATCACCTCCTATGCTCTTAGCCTTCTTGCTCTCCTTCTTCTCATTTTTCGCCGCCTTCTCTAGCCGCGCAGCAACCTCATCCGTCTCCGTGTTCTCTGCCCCAGTCTGATCAGACTCCTGATCAATCGACGTGGGGGTGGGATAATCCTCCTCGGAAGCAGTACGCTTCTTCTCCTTCAAAGCCTTCTTCGCAAGCTTCCCAGCAATCTTCTTCTCCTTCCTCTCAGCCTTTGCAGCCCTCTTCACACGTCTCGCTTCCTTCCTCTCCGCCTTCTCCACCTTCCGCGTAGCCTTGGCCAATTTCCTAGTCGTGCGATCGCCATCATCCTCATCCTCACGCTTGCGCTTCGACTTGGAGGTAGAAGTAGACGTTCCGCTCTCGTCTTTTTTCTTATCGTTCCCCTCAAGTGTACCAGCCAACCCATCCCCCCTCACAAAATGCCGATAAAGCTCACTCGTCAGCGCGTTATTCTCGCGCGCTGAGTTGGCTTCGAAACTGTCATTCCCGACACCCTTCAGTGCATCTTCGAAGCCGCGCAGCCACCACTGGTTCGTCGGGTCTTTTGTTGTCTTCTTGCCCACGCCGTGGTTGTTCGCTTTGCGCGATACAAGGAGTGGTCGGGTGAGGCCTAGTCCACTGTGTGCGCCCGGTCGTTTGTTTGGGTTCAATGGGTTGCCGGGACCGGACCAGCCGTGTTTGATTAGGTAGGCTTGGGCGTCCATTTTGTGGTGGGTGAGGTGTTTGCCCTTGGATTGTAGAGTTTGGGTGGGCAACGAAGATTGGCTTTTTGAATCTTGGGTATTTCGGTTGGGTCTTGGTTATGTATGTTGTGGAATTGGAGGAGAGGGGATTTGAGAGGGTTCCTTGTGCAAAAAAAAGTTTGGATAAGGAAAAAAAAGGTTAGAGATAAGATTTCTTGTTCAGATTCACGTGACGGGCGGACTATGTACTTCTTTTTGTTTTTGTTTTTGTTTTTTTTTTTTTTTTTTCTTCAATAGGAATGGATGTATAGCTTTTTTGGTTTTTGAAAGAGAAAATTACTTTCTGCACAATGTAAATTCAGTTGATGACAACGTTCAAAAAAATACGTGGGTTTAAACTCAAAATTTATGCCCTAACAAAGGTCATAGGTCAGAAATATATTTTAATCTATAAAGTAGATACTATCAATCCAATAATCAAACAACCAATTAATTTTACAAACTACATTAATTCGAATAATAACGACATAACCTCATATGACCTAAGTGCAGGACTATCTATTTTTACCTTTTTTACCCACCCAAACACCCAATGATACACAACAGACAGCCGTCAACAGCAGATGCAGATGCATCCACCCGCACACAGTATACAGACTAGTACGGCTTGAACCTATCCTTCTTCTTCTCCTTCGGGCGAGCCTTTGCAGACCCAGTCTGGACTGGAGCATCACTCCCCTCAGCAGGTCTCCATGCCCGCACGAAGCCATCCTCACCACAGGTGAAGACTGATTGACTCTGATCGAGATAGTTGGGTTAGCGAGGGTTAAACAACGAAAGCCAAATCAGCCCAACAGATGTATGTAACATATCACAAGAAGCATTCCCTGAAAAACGTACCTGTTCATCCAAATACACTGAGCGCACAACCTCCTCGCAATGAGCACGGGGCAAGCGCCACAAATTATCCCGGTCTAACTTCCACGACGGGCTGGAAACGAGTGGGACAAGATCGAGACGGTTGTCACTGCAAGACATTAGTTAGCAAACACCCACAAGCCCAGCCCAAGAACCCAGAAAAATACAAGCACAACAGCACGTGTGCGTGTCACGACTTCTTCCGAGCACCGAACACAAGAAAAAGACACAAAACAAGACAAGAAACATACATCTTATTTCCAGCGGCGATATACGGGCCCTGTGCACTGACACATAGTTGCGCAACATACTCGCATCCCAGCGGGTCGCGCACGTCACCGAAATGCACGGGCTCGGGCTCCTGCGAGGAATCATCCGGGTCTGTGGCCGGGTACACGGAGAAGTGCTCGTCGTGGCTGAGGGCGAAGATGGTGCGCTCCGACAGGAACCCAGCATGATGTACGGAGCCGTGATTGATCACTTGCACCAGGGCTTCGTCTTCGTCTGTTACGGTCGTATCGTAGATGTTTACTAGTCCGTCCGTGCTGCCGGAGAGTAAGATGTTGCTGCGGGTCGGGTGATATTGGAGCTGTGTACCATCGGTAACAGGCAAGGTGCCGAGGTAATGGTTAGTCTGGCTGGTACTGCATGTGGGTATTGAATTGGATGGTGGGGGATGTTGGGGGCGCCGGGCTTAGAATGGAGGTATACTTACCTCAGTGATATCGTCGTTGTGGCTCTCCACATACTGAAGACTGAATTCCTGGGGGGAGCGGATGTCCCTATTTGTTGGTTAGTGATAGAACACAGCTGTTTCTGTTTTAGGGTTGGAAGACGGATCCCGATATGATCAAATGATAATGCTGGGCCCAGCATTCAAGTCAAGAACGAAGTATAAAATGAAACCTACCAGAATGCAACGACCGCCTGCGAAGAGACAAGCTCCGTTCCCGCAACAATAGTGTTTGTCTCCGGGTTACAAGCCACAGACAGAACAGGCGACTTCTTCGCTAGACACATGAAACAATGAATTAGCAAATATGTCTTTGATAACAAAGCAACAAAAACCCGCAACCAAGCCAGGACTATCCTTGAATCCAAGCGTCGATAAATTCCTCGAATATCAGTAATAGGCGACCGGAAATGCAGCTGCAAATCACAAAAATGCAGTGGTCCAAGCAGGTTCCCGAAGACAACCCAAACAGGCAACAGATGCATAAAAACCTCCAAAATGAAAACCAAAAAAAAAAAAAAAAAAAAGCTTAACCAAAACAAACTCACCCGTTTCCATCTCCACAACCGGACTCCCATTCCCAGCCCGAACATCCCAAACCTTCACCTTCCCATCACGGCCACCGGTAGCTAAGAGGTGCGACTCGCCCATGGCGAAGCTGCGCAATGCGGTAACACCGCCATTGTGAGTAGCATTTGAGATCACAGATCCGCGATCGAGATCGGCGGCATCAAACACCCGTAGCGAATCATCTGATGAGATGGCGGCGAAAGTCCCCGGCGCTGAGGGGACGATCGAGTAGATGTAATTATCTGCCGGCAGCGACAGAGTCGATGAGGCCACTGCTTTGAGTGTGTGCATTGTGCGATTTGGGGGAGCTGATAGTCCCGTTGCCTGCTGTGTGGCTGGAACTCGCTTTCGCTTTGGAATTTGATATAGAGAGGTTGATCTCTGGGGTGATCCGGTTGTGGCTGATGTGAGGGGCAGCGATCAATGTTTCCGAATTGGTGATTAATGTCTCTGACTTGATATGTGTGTTTTGATATTTGAGTTTTATGTATTATTGGAGCATTTTACTCAATTTGGCCGGTGAGGTCGGGGTTTGGCCAGGGAAAATTTCCTGGCGGGACGTGGGGCGCAATGTCTGTGTACAGAGCACGATGTACATGTACATCCCGAGGGTCCTGTACTCCGTCCTTATAATTCACTAATTTGTTTACTCAAATAGTATACAATATATTAACAAAATTCAAAAGATTCCTTTGGCTTATCACAAAAACCTCGAAATTGAAAATCCATTTGCTTCTAGTCCAGAATAAGGGGCAAGACAAAGTATGTACAATGTACGCTAGATTTTAGTCCCTCCCAGATAACTAACTAATGCATGATGCACTCTTGTTAAACCCAATCCCATGAGCTGTCAGTACCAAGAGTATTGGGCAGGTTTTGGACGATCAATATCCCTCAATGAGTCAGTCTCAGTGGCTGGAAAGACCAGGAATCAGCGCGGCAAGCGTTGGATCGCGTGAAATATACGGGGTACTCCATATATTAATTGTACAGGGTATGTAACATGCAAGGAGACACGGGGTTTGACCATAATTCTTTGTACCTTATGAGGAGTCCCCAACAATTCCGGGGCCGAAGGCCGAATAACATGGATAATAGGTTTTATTAATGTGAATCAGCACCCGGGCCGGGATGGACGGACCCGGTGTCCTGGGAAGCCCCAAAATAACCTAATGGGGAAAGACCCTGGACCATTATTGGGCTTGGGGGGAATGTTGACATGTATAATGCATGATATATACGCAGTATATGGAGGTGTAGGTGTATACCCCGTAGGTTAGAAAGAAAAATAAAAAAAGTGTGAAGGGTCTTGACACGAGTCATGACCTGACCCAGCGGGGTGGTCTTAGGGTCATTCTTACATGTCACAAAAGAATCCGTCCAAGTAAATGATTACCAGGGTCGGGGCGCAGCTAAAGTGTTGGTCAAGATGTGGTATCCGACTTGATTCGCTCCAATGTCACATCCACGGACCCAGGGCTCTGGGTTGCGGTGAGGGGGGATTTATCAGGCATACTACCTACAAATTGCAAGGTTGGACATTTTTTAATTTTTTATTTCAGAGCAGAATGCAGAGTGTATGACAGTCGGAGTACATAAACATTCCAAGGTTCCCCAAAGTGGCACCGAGAGAGTTATAGTTATATATAATATATACAATATATATAATATGTTATTTGTATGATATGTTATGTATATTATGTATTATACGGAGTATACACCGATTATTACTAGGCCAAGGAAGTGAAGAGCGCCACGCTTACCCAAGGTTACCTCGATTGACGCCTTTACCAGTCCGTTGGGCCCTCATCAAGTGGAATCCCTGGAAATGAGAGGCCCAGACGGTCCGCATCCCGCTAGGGCGTGGGTCGACCTTTTGGTCCATGTCAATCTAGCTCTTATGGAGTTTAGTGATTCGTAAGTATTCCTATTACGATTACTCCGTAGAAGGTCGAATTTTACATTCAACAAAGTCAAAAGAGCCAAGAAAGCAAAGGACTTATATTCCTAGGATTTAAGGACCCAAAGCCCTAATTGGTTTAGCTCCCTCAACCAGTGCTCTGGGATGCCTGTGCATGAAAAAGTCTGTACATAGATGTAATATAATATATTCGATTATGAGATTACGATTACTTTGTACGGAGACGGATTACGGATTACGGATTACGTAGTATAATTGATATAACTAAAATGAAATTATCAAATGTTTCATAGATCGACATAAGATCAAATATTCAAAATGTTCAAATTATTGTAAAAATGTCCAAGTACCCGATACAACGAGTACCGGTAGCGCGGATCGTACTTTTCTGCTGTACGGACTACTCCGTACTTCTGCACAGAATTCTGCACTAGACTTCTTTCCTCATTTTCCCTTCTCTCATCCTTGTTCTGCCATTCTCTTTCTTTGCTGGTTGCTTTACCCGCACCCCGCTACCCGTGGGCCCGACGGGAAGGAAACCGCAGCTTAACAACCTTAAAAAACCTCCTCCTCAGCTTTCTCTTGTCACTTGAAGTTGGAGCTGACGCTGGACATCAAACTGCGCCAATTTGAGCCAATTTTCCGAGAACCTCGAATCCCTGGGCTTCACGCGACCGTGCAATCCGCCCTGTGGCAGAACCTCTCATTTGGCTCGAGCTCATCACACTTGCTCGTGTGCTTTCGCTGTGGTTTAGTGTCTCATACCTAATCTGCTCTTTTCTTATTGTTTCATTCATGACTGGCATGATCGGTCGATTCACAACTGTCTCGGATATCTTGCGCGATCATTGATTGATTGCCGATATAAACATGTCTTAC